AAGATCTGAAAATGGATGCTAACACTTGTTAGCTGCAAAATATTTTCAGATGTCTGTTTGGCTGAAATTGTTTTGTTATTGTGTATAAAATTTATGAATAAATTATTGTCATTCAAAAGTTTTATTAAATATTTTTTACATTTACAATAATTAAAAAAGATCCATTTGAACATCTTTTGTGATCCTTGAATCCCCCCCACCCCCACCCTCCCTCTCATACGGTCTGCCTTGTTGAGGCAAGGGGGCTCACATACACTGCCCTTGGGGTGGTGTGGGTGGCCTCGGTTCCCTCCTGTCCATCGGGATGGTGCACTTGCCAAGGAGCCCTCTGAATTGAGGTCCCTATTTGGATCATCGAACCACCTGCTGGAGGGGTCACCAGTGAAGGTCCGTTCTCAGGGGATGGGAGGAATGTTGGGTGTCAAGTGGGTGGTGGAGGAAGGGGGAGGGTGCATGAGAAAGGTCATTACACTGGTGTAGGAGAATGTTTTATGTAGTAGGGCTACCCCATCGAAATGGTTGCACTACTTGGAATGATACACCCTTTCCTGCACCGGCTTACGCTTGGCGCCTCTCACTGCCCTTGAATTTAATATCCCATTGCTCTGGGGATCAAACCTTTTTAATTTCTTCAATGATTATCACAATTTCTACTTCCTCTTGGACTCATTTGGTGGGCAATCCAATTCCTCCTTCTTAATACCTGCTTGTTGGGGTTCTGGGAGTTGTTCTACTCCCCATAACCAACACTATGACTTGTGAGAGCTTGGTCCACCAGGCTGTTGCTTGGAGCGGCCCGCAGGCCCACATACCTACTACAGCCCGGTTGATCCGGCACTTCTTTTAGAAAACAATCTGGTTTTCTCTTGAAGATGTCCACGGTTGTTCCTGCAATATTTCTTATGTCTTATTTGAAATATTTCAATATTTCCCTCTTGTCCATACTTTTTCCGACACTCATGCTCTCTAGAGTAGAATACTGTTGCACAATGATAGCCCCTTTCAAAGCTGGAAAAATTATTGACCTGGAGAGCGTGCAGAGATTCTTTACTGCTAGAATCCACTCAGTAAAACATCTAAACTACTGGGACTGACTAACGAGCCCAAATCTGTATTCTCTTGAGCGCAGGCGGGAGAGATACATAATAATTTATACGTGGAAAATATTAAGAGGGGCTGATCCCAAACCTGCACACACAAATAACATCACATAAGACCAGGAGGCATGGCAGGATGTGCAGAGTACCCCCATTGAAAAGCAGAGGAGCAACAGGTACTCTGAGAGAGAACTATCAACATCAGAGGCCCAAGACTGTTCAACACGCTTCTACTACACTTAAGGGGCATAACTGGCCAACCCTTCCCAGTGTTCAAGAGAGAGAACTGGATAAACACCTCCAAAGGATACCTGATCAACCAGGCTGTGATTCATATGTCAGGCTGCAAGCAGCCGCATCAAACAGCCTGGTTGACCAGTCCAGCAACGAGGAAACGTGGTCAACAACCGGACCGCGGGAACGCTAAGCCCCGGAAACACTTCAAGGTAAGGTATCCTCACATGTGTTTTCTTAGGTTGAACCTTACCAATGACTTTCTTGGGACCCATGGCACGATATATAATAATTAGTTACATGTTCAAAAAACAAAAAAGCACCAAAATAACGGAATTCTTTACAAGCGCAATCATCACTAAGCGAGTGGCTCTGGTAAACTGAGGCTAGGTCGACCCATGCCACAGGAACCACGAGCTCGGTCGACCCAAATGCGTATCAACAAAGTCGATAGTTGAGGCAAAGTTTGTAAGTTGAGATGATTTTCCGACGAAATTTACGTTGTAACTCAAAATATTTGTAAGTAGGGGCAGTTGTAAGTGGAGGTACCACTGTACCATAACAGTGGTACCTCCGTACCATACCATAAATGGTACTAAAAATACAGGGAACTAAGGTTCAGATTCATAAAAAGTCAGTCAGGCAGCATAAGTAAGTTGAACAGAGATCTACTGGGAAAGAAGATCAGCTATGCATAGATTTAGATGAGGGAGAAGAGAACTTGGATAATAAACTAATCCACAAGGGATCAACTTGGATAAATTTTGCTGCACCAAAAGGTGCTACATTCTGAAATGAGCAGTTGCAACCGAGGCCTCTCTCTCCATAGAGGAAGAAAAGGGATACAGCTTACACTTCGGTCTGGAATATGTGGCATGGAGGAAGGGGCTGTGGCTGAGATGTCAGGGCAGCAAGGATTCGGGGATGAACATCAGCTGTGACAGAAGGTCAAGAGGGAGTGTGCTTTCATAAGTGGTGGAGACTATGCTCAGAGGAGCCTGCAATGGTTATGGGAGTGCCCAGAGACCACTGAACAAGGAAGACCACTGCATATGAAGGGCAGGGACATGGACATGGGGAGAGTGGGCTGAGAGGGACATGGACATGGGGAGAGTGGGCTGAGAGGGACACTCCCAGAAGCAGAGTGCAGAAAAGGGTAAGGACTGAAGTGTGTCTTGAGTCAAGATATGAAAAGAATTATTCCAATGTAGGGGTATGAAAGGAAGGTACCATAGAGGGTTCTTGACAAGCTGCAGGAGAATGTATCACATCTGTAAAGAGGCCCAAGCTTTGTAGTTGGTGCATTGACTTAAAAACAAAAAGATGTTGTATCTGTGCTTGAGGGTTGCATTTAAATAGACTTAACATGGTTGAAGTTTCCACAAAGAAAAAAAACATGGCCAAACTTACATATATTGTATTGGCACAGGAAGGACCCCACAGTTACAGAATAACAGGTCGGAAGGGTGCAACTACAAAAAGTAATTTCAGCAATACATAGGAGACTAGTATGTTAGCTAAGTGGGAAGCAGGTGAATTTGAAACTAGACAAGCGAGTGTCCCTCTACTCTAAAACAGTCTTGATATCATCAAGGCAGTCAAGTGAGTCACTGCCTTTAACTGCAAGATGAGAAAGAACAAAAATATTCACACTTGCCTTCAGACAGACACTTTTTGATGAACTTTACTGGAACCTCACTGATGTATAGTGGTAAACCAAGGTAGTTGACCTATTTCTGCAGCTGGTCCTCACCAACTTGCCAGATCATCTAGGATGGGAGGTAACATTCAAGCTAACAGACTGAAGCAGGTGAATATGCAGCTGGAGATCAACAACTGTTTGGCCCTTTTCCAACCGAGGATCAAAATACAGGCATTCCATTAACATACTGGTAAAAAAATAAAATATGCATGCTTAAAGAAAAATAAATTTCAATACTGGTATATAAAAATAAAAAAAATAAAATATAAATATATATATATATATATATATATATATACAGCCTGTATATATATATATATATATATATATATATATACAGTATATATATATGACAATGTCAGACCAACCTTCTGAAGATGTATTTAATATACGAAAGTACTTAAGGAAATTTCCTGTTTCATTTTTCCTCCGTGGTCTGACATTGTCACATTCTTAATCACATGTTTATTTTTGTGATATACACACATATATATATATATATATATATATATATATATATATACATATATATATATATATATATATATATATTATATATATATATATATACATATACACTACATATATATGCACATACAGTATGTGTGTGTAATTACCTAAGTGTAGTTACAGGATGAGAACTACACTCGTGGGGTCCTGTCTTACCAGTACTCTTTGTCGTATACATAATGCTTTGAAACTTTTGACGGTTTTGGCCTCCACCACCACCTCACTTAACTTGTTCCAATCATCTATCACTGTTTGCAAAAGAATTTTTTTTATTTTTTTGGCACCTTTGTTTCCTTAGCTTGAAATCTGTTCTCTTTGATCTTGAAGTTGCTAGTTTCAGAATTCATTTTCATCAATTTGGTCGATTCCTGTTAGTATTGTATTTTGTAAGTGGTGATCATACCACCTCCTTTTCTTCTATCTTCTAGTTTTGGCATGTTTAACACCTCTAGTCTTTCCTCATAACTCTTGTTTTTTAGTTTCAGAAGCCATTTTGTAGCATGCCATTGCTTTTTTTTCCAGTTCATTTATGTGCTTCTTGAGATATGGGCACCATATGGGCATACCAAGGAATGCTGCACATTCCAGTTTTGGTCTCACAAAAGTCACATACGTGCACGCTATGTCATACCTAATAGCCGGTGCCTAACCAGCTGAATTTTAGTAAGTATTAAAAATTTCAAAATTTGTCTTGGATTCTGTTTTTCATTATAATACACATTAAACAGATTTTTATGTTTTAACTAAACTTAGAAACTTCACTTTACCTAAACATGCTGATTATTTATCAATGCCTGTACTGCCTCACGCAAGCAAAACTAGGCTTATGTTGCAAATTTGTTTTGAAAATATATAAATAACATTACAGGTAACACTAATTTCTAAAAAAATTTGAAAAAAATTACCCAAGTTGTAAGCCAAAATGGGCCTCGTTTACTAGACCAAGCAGTGTGGTTATGGCTGTTAGGCACAACATACATCAAATGTATGCAAGTCATGAATTCTGTGATACGTAAATACAGAAAACACCACAGAAATGAAACAAAATTCCAAATGTTTTCATGTTCAACACATTATCATACTTACCGTGTGTTTTGTGTGTGTACAAATTTTAGGGAGGGTTAGATGTGTAGCGTTCTTAGAACTGTTGGTATCCTAATTTAGTCTGGATTCCTCCCTCCCCTTAAATATCTTGCTTGCTATTCATGGAATGTCTAATGGTAATTAGTGGCATGTAAATGTAGTGCATTAAAAAAAATCCTAAATTTAAATATTTGCAGTTCATAAAAACACTCATTGCCTAAAATTAAACCTTTGCAATCTTCTACTGTATATACATGTTGCTATCTTCATCAATTCCATACCAAAGATTTTTTTTTTTTAGTGGCATATAGAAGCTTTGACCCAATAAAGATGTTTCTTACTTCACAAAGCCTTTTGTATACTAAAACAACATGACCCTTTCCACAAAATTTTAATAAATGTCATTTCAAATAAGCTTTTACATTCATCATCCAGTCTACCTTTCCATAACCAAGTCCCAAAAATTAACTTGGCCTCTTAATATATCCAACACAATCAAATTAGTTATAGAACAAAACTTTCCTCTTTAGGATGTCCTAAGGTAGTCTGGCCACTTTTTGTAAATATACAGAGTTAAAAACTTAACAAATTAATTACTCATTTACAAATGTCAAGCTCTCTTGGACCTGCTCAGCACCACAGCACTGTGAATACCAGTGATATATATAAAGTAATGGCCTCTTCAAAATCACAGTACTGACGAGAAAACAGTTATAATTTTTGTGGTTAGTCAGAATTTGATGAATAATTAACAATATGATAAACAATAATAAATAAAATATCTGCCAGGCAGGAGCAAGATGTGGTGCAATAAGCAATTTCAGGCTTTGTGAGACCCACATACTAAATGCTCTAGTTAATAAAACGGACAAGACTAATCACAAAGCTCAAAATAACAATTCACTCCACACAAGTTGTGAGAAAGAAGCACAGAGTACCATAAGCTTCAATGGCTTCAGGAAGACCCGAGACTCAACAGGCACAGAGGAATCATCTTGCCGTTATTAAAGTAATACAAGAACTACATGCCTCTGCACTTTCAAATGGGAAGAAGAAATAGTCTGAGAAAGAATACCTATAAATTGCACCCTTAAAAATCATAGCTTTCCAAAAATAGGTTCTGGCTTTTCTTGCAGACATGAAAATTTCATGTGATTCTCCTGAAAAACACACTTCATAAACTGACAAGAACACACAAGCCCTTGGCAGTTGACAAATGGAACAGGACAGGTGTCACAATATACATCTGTAGAAATCTTTCCTTTCTCTTGATACTAATCTGACAATTTTAGTTCCTTTTCTCTGTACAGTATACCTGTTAAATTCTATTAAATTTGGTTCCATTAAAAAAAATACCATTTAATTAAAATGACAATTAAAAACACTTTCCCAAGCTCTTTCATTTATTACAACTTCATTGTAGTTCAGATGGGTGATTATCATTACTCTTACTAGCTACTTTTCTAGAAAGAAATAAATGTTAATTTGATTAAACACTAAATAATAATGTTAGCAATGGTAGGTATAAATGAAGACATCTTCATTGTTAACATGGTTTAAGGAAAAATAAAAAATTAACAGGTAATGACGTTCAAATCACGCATGTCCTTTTACCCAACTTGTTCCATTTGTATAAAGAGTACTAACAAGTCTGTTCATTGTTATATCTTACTACCTGAAGATGTAATATATGAAGTTTTTTTTTCCTATTATGGTTTCTCTGCATTTAGATAATTGTGTGTTCCAGATTTTGTTGCATATATATATTTTTACATACAGTATATAATTTATACAGTACATTTAATAAAAGAAACCTATCCATTTGCCCTTGCTTAATATTTTATGAAAAACAAAACTCAAATGTAAAGAAAAACAGATGCCTAAAGGAGGAATCATTTTATTTTATCTTAAAGACTACTTATTTCACAGTATACAAGATTGTCTTTACAAATGATACATTTGTCTTGCAAGACTATCATAATTCATCATAGCCATCTTAGAACACTAGCTCGCATATGTTATGGCTATGTACGAATGCTAGCTTGCATGTTTTATGGCTATGAACGAATACTAGCTCGCATGTTTTATGGCAGAGTGTATGATGTGTGCAGGCGAGCATAACTGGTGCATGTACCCCACGCTGTATGCACACAAGCATGCACATTGCACATTAACATGCATGCATCCTGTGCATGCATGCTGAGTGGAAACAAATATGCACACTGCTCACACTGCACAATCATGCAAATTTTGCACTCAACATGCACTTTCACTTGTATGCCTTGCACCATAATAATGACAATAGGAAGCTTTGATTCTCCAAGGACTGCATGCTGAATGTCAGGGGTACCAAGTCACCAGGACATTATGTACCACAGAATCACCAACTTGAGCTACATTTTGTTAATAGGATAAATATCGGATATCCAAGGACCAGCAGACCCAATGCAAACAACAATTTCTTTCTATGAATAATGAACAAGATATTCAGAAAAAGTACATTCTTCACTAACAGTATTCTTACAGAACTATATATATTGGTCATCAATTAACACACAGGCTATGAATTTATTCCTGTATTATGGTGCCCCCGTTAGAATTTGGGTCTACGGCTGAACACCATAACTAAAGTTTATTCAGTGACCCCCCCCCCCATGTTAAATTTAATTTAGACCAATCTTGGAAATATACAATACCTAGAATCTCAGATTGCTTCGTAAAACCTAATTCCCTTCCCTAAGGAATTAAGTTAATATCAGGAAAGCATTTTTTTCCAACAAGGGGAACAAGATTACATCTAGAAAATAGAATTTCAAATTAGATCCATGATAATTTTTGTGAAATGGTCATCTCGTATCAATATCTTAGTTATTCCAAATGCCTATGATTTTTTCACAACCATACTTTTAATAAATTTTGTTTTCAGTTGATCCCTCAGATAATGTGCAGGAAGAACCCACATATGGTTGATGCATAAAGACAGAAATCACAGCCATGGTGGTCAGTTTTAGCAAAAGTTTGGTTACAGAAAACTGTACAAGGTATTCATAAATTATACTGGATACTCAGACCGAAGCTACGTAAACATGACTGGAAACTTTCAAGCCTTGTGTGTTTGATACCAAATACAGTACTGTAAGTATAGTGCCAGCAATGCAGTTCAATACATATACAGTATTGTAAACATTTAAAACTAATGTAACTTTTTCTGGACACAGTCTAGAATTTGATTCAAATAAACTTAGTAATACACTAACAGACAATAGTGTTAACCAGTTCTTGGAGAGCAGAGAGCACATGCTCCAAGACACTGCAGCAGGTCGTGGTGTGAGCAACTGCTGGAATTTGATGTGATCTTTGATATATGCATCCTAATACCAAATGTTAAGTGTAAGAGCTAGTTCTGCTGATTCAATATGCAAGCATTATTTGGTTCTCTGGCATATGCCACAATTAAGAACAGTTTTCCAAGGAGGTACATACAACAGGAATTCACTTTTCTTTGGCCCACCATATGACTTAATGCCTTTGGCAGCAAATTTATTAAAATAAAAAGTATATTAATTTTTTCTACATTGGTATTTCCTTTAGAAATAAAATATATAAAAATAACATTTTCCAAGTGCCAGTAGGGTGTAAAATGTTCAAAAGCTATACCTCAACACCACTAATATCTGACAATATAGTAATGAAAACAACCACAGGATGTCCATTTAGTTTTAGTCAGACTGGTTGCCAAGGAACAAGATTTACTCCCATTCATGATACACCGTCTCCTTTAGACATCTAGCAAGAGCTGTCTAACCAATATGACCCATTCTTCTACTTCCATCACAAAACAAAATATTTAGTAATGGACAAGTAGAATGATTTAATTCTTGGAAACTAAAAATAATGATAGAATATATCTATATATACTGCACTTTATCTTTTTTAAAAGTCCACAGATCTATGAAAATTATGTTCACACCATGGGCTAATATATTAAAAAAAAATATTCAGTTAAATTTGTTCAACAATGTTTATTTTCTATCACAACGTAGTTTTAAATACCTTTAAAAAAATACTTCATACTGAAAATAAAAACAGGATCTACAATTCCTCCTCAGAGAATTTTTCTTCATGTACTAACCCTTTCACAAAGAGGAAGTTGTTTTTTAAATAAAAAAATTTAAGACTGTAGCATCTTTTGGGTCCTGCCTTAGTGCTCACTTACACTGCCCTAACTATTCTATCCGTCCTTCGCCTCAACTGTTGTCACTGAGAGCATCAAAACGGTTGGCCGTACTAAGTTTAGGTGCTGCGTAGTCTTCTTGCATTGAACGGGTTGATCCATGCCTCACGCTCTCAAAACCTTCATTGCTGTAAAATCAAAGATCACAGCTTTAGATCATTGAAATTATAAAATAAAGTCCAGTGTAACCCGTTTCTAAGTGTTTACTCCAAAGACTTACTATCCCTGAGAGGCTTGCCTTGTGCAAAATTCTCAAAATATTTAATCTAAAAGAAAAACTCAAATTATAATGCAAGAACCAAGAAGGTAATGAATATTCAAATCCAAAATATTGGAGAATTAAAGAAAGAGAATGAAAGTATAATAATGTACTAATAGTGCAGCTATTAATTCTAGATCAATGGAGGAGCACCTCTTTACTTCCTTTTGCTAGTACAACCATAACAAGCAAACACCAATCAATTTACTGTTTAACTTGGTTCATACTTAATGAAGTTATTTTAAATAGCAATATTACAGGAACATGAAATATGAAACAAATAAGTACAGTAGATCTTCTCAATACAAACGATGAAAACTCTTCAATAATATTTCTTCAATAATCAACAAGAAAATGCAGAATAAAACCAGTGAGGAGCAAGGGTGCCATAGGCACAATCAGAGAACACTGTATAAACATCAGAGGTCCACAGTTGTTCAACATCCTCCCAGCGAGTATAAGAAATATTGCCGGAACAATCGTGGACATCTTCAAGAGAAAGCTAGATAATTTTCTCCAAGGAGTGCTGGACGAACTGGGCTGTGGTGAATATGTGGACCTGCGGGCTGCTCCAAACAACAACCTAGTGGACCAATCTCTCTCAAGTCAAGCCTGGCCTAGGGCCGGGCATGAGGAATAGAAGAACTCCCAGAACCCCATCAAGCAGGTATCAAGCAGGTATATTTAGACCAAAAATAGCTAAAGAAACTTCAAATTGTAATTCTTAAACAAAATTCATAACAGAAATAATGGTCTACAATTCCCTCACTACAATAATTAAGTATAAGTGATCAATCTTCTTAACCCTTGTGCTATTGCACTTGTTTCAGCCCTATACTGTTCTTGGGTCTATATGGTCCTAAAACTTAATTTTTTTTTCTTTTACACCTATAGTAAGAAAATTACTTACATTTTCCTATGGTACAATTAATTAAAGTAAATTGGTGAAAAGCAATAATTTCGGTTAAAATAAATTTCAATTTTCAGTGCTTTATAATTGAAAAATAGTCCAACTATTTACCCAAGTCTTCCCATTATACAGAATATCAAATACACTCGATAAATAGATTTTATTTTTTAATGGGGGGGAAGGAGGTTGTTGTTTGGTTCCCACATTCGTAGATAAGAAATCTATTGGGCTAATCAAGGTCAAACTCTCTGGCCAATACACACACAAATCACAATTGCGTGATGCATCAAATGAACAAATGACCATGTCACAGCTCAGTCGATTAAGGCAGCGTCTGGGATGCTCTCGGACGCAGGTACGAATCCTCGTCACGGCCCTTGTGTATTTATTCCCTGGCCAACTTTTGACCTTCACCAGAATACAATCCACAACAGTTTCACAACTCCCAGGTACACTACTTTGTGACGATAATCTCCTTCAAGAGATTGAGCCTGCTCTTCCCTCCATAATTACGTCGTTGAAATTATATAATACTACTATGGAAGAAATGTCCAACAACGACAACAACACCAGCAAGGTTTGCCAGAGCGCAAAACGTTGCAGCCAGAGACACCTGTTCGGACTCAAACCGCCAAACTACCTGTTGATCGCTACCGGCTCCGCTGATTGGTCGCCGGTCTGGCTGCACCTGCACTCGCCCCCCCATACTACTTGATGTCTGGGGTCGCCACGACCTCAGAATGTTCAGTGCTTTTGTGGTTACCACTCCTCCCGGCTAGACGTTAGCGTGTACTGAGAGAGGTGGTAGCTTAAAGCCAATATTCCAGCACCTTCCCTTTATTTTGTGTTGCACTTCTTGTTATTTTATCTTAACGTAACTTTTCATTGTGTCATTTAATTATTCTTATTATTTTGATTGATTGATTTTATTATAAGAATTTGTTTGTCCATTTTTTCATGTTTTGATTTATTTAACGTAATTAAAATTTCATTGTTAAAATTTACTTGTGTTTTATGTGTCTTCTCCTTACCTTACCACAGACGAAGTTCCAGTTTTCTATTTTTTTTTATAACTATGTGACGAGGCCATACCCCTAGCCTTAAACAGCCGAACACCAACGCGTTACCGTCACAACTTATTTACTGCTAAGAAAAAAAGAAAAAAAAAAAAAAAAAAAAGGCATCGGGTGAAAGGAAACGTTCAAATACCAGTCATGCCCCGTAAAATAGAAGCTGGAACCTTTTTGGCTGTGACCCTGAGAATTCATTAAACATGTTTTTAGACATTAAAAATATATTTTAAATCTTCTTTTGATTCCATTTTCTATACCAGGCAATAGTGTTCCCAATGTATGTAATATCGTAAGTACAAGAAAGAAGCATATTTTGCCTAGGAATTTTGTTGCAAAACATTGAAATTAAAATTTAATTTATTTCTATTTTCCCCTAAATCAATTGGTATGTAATATTTTTTCTCATTGATTTGTGCTCTTTTTAGTACTCGAACATTTCCATTAAATTATAGATTTTTACAAAATATTGCCAATAATCATTATAGTACTCAAAATAGTGGCAACCTTGAACAGGAACTAATTATTCCTAACTGATTTACATCTATTGCAATGGGCAACACTTTCTTCTATCACTGCCAAATGGATGCAGCTACCAGATCCGAACTCCAATCCAGAAGGTCAGATGTCTGGATGAATGTTACAGAAACTTATTTCGATGTAATATTTTTTTGTAAAAACTAACCTATTACAGAGAAAGATTTTCTTCGTGAAGCAGGCTTTCTTGTTTCAAGGTAAAAGGGTTAATGTTTGGCCTAATTTGTCCTAACATTAATGAATCTTGGTCCTGTAGATAATTTTCTCTGCAGTTTCACTATTCCATATTCCTTCCTCTCATTTGATTAAATTCTTGTTCCTATAACATGATTGTGGTGCCACTTTATAGGTAAGTTGGTAATTATATTTACACATCAGACTCGGACAATTCCTGTACCAAATTTTCTGCAAACTGTATTAAGGAATAAAAATATTACTAACTTTGACTTTCTTTTGCCCCATGCACCCATTGGATTGGAAGCCTGAGCATCGGAGAGTGAAGGGAAGGCCATCTCGTTGTTGATGTCAGGAGCTGTTCGATTCCTCCTCGGTGCTGCAAGAGAATAAAATATCTTTACTGTGAAGGACTACCTTTAAATACAATTTTGAAGGATTTTAGAGAAGCTTTCCTATGGTAATATTAATCACTAGCAATATTCCAAGATAATCAAAACCCCTTTTTAACCGAAAAATTAAACAATTAGAAAGTAATTACTTGTACCATATAAAATATTCTTAACCCTAAGTAAATACTGTGCACTGCAAAAAGAAAAATTCATGAAAACCTACTTGACTTTGGCAGCGGAGAGGCAGACATATTGCGCATGTGAGGAGGGACATAGGAAGAATTGAGTGTATGTGGTTGCCTGGTCTTCTCCTCTGGTTCTACTACTGGAACAGTCTTAAAGAGAAAACATTTTATATTCTGAGTGTGCTTATGTAACTGTACACTTGCAGTGTGCTAGATATAGCTTCAGGGTTCCACCTTATTGATATTGTACTTGTTAAGTGTGGTGTGCACGTATGTGGTGTGCATGCATAGGGTGTGTATGAAGTGTGCACATTTAGGGGGGAGGTGGAGACGTGCATGTATGTGGTGTGTAGGGGGCATGTGTGTGATTGAGCGTGCAGGGGTGTGGTTGTGTGTGGGGCATGTGTGCATCTGCGTGGTTGTGTGAGGGACATACGTGTATGTGTGTGGTTGTGTGTGGGACATGCATGCATGTGTGTGTGGTCGTGTGTGTGGTCGTGTGTGTGGTCGTGTGTGTGGTCGTGTGTGTGGTCATGTGTGTGGGACATGCATGCATGTGTGTGGTCACATGTGTGGGACATGCATGTGTAGGGTCATGTGTGTGGGACATGTGCACGTGCGGGGTCATGTGTGTGGGACATGCGTGCATGAGTGTGGTTGTGTGTGTGTGTGTGTGGGGGGGGGGGCGTGCGTGCATGTGTGTAATTACCTAAGTGTAGTTACAGGATGAGAGCTATGCTCATGGTGTCCTGTCTTCCCAGCACTCTGTCATATAACGCTTTGAAATTACTGACTGTTTTGACCTCCTTAACCTTCTCACTAACTTGTTCCAACCGTCTTCCACTGTCTGTGAAAGTGAATTTTCTTACATTTCTTTGGCAGCTCTGTTTAGTTAGTTTAAATCTATGACCTCTTGTTCTTGAAGTTCCAGGTCTCAGAAATTCTTCCCTATAAATTTTATAGATTCCTGTTATTTTGTACGTGGTGATCATATCCCCTTTCTTCTCTCCTCTAATTTCGGTATACTTAACCCTTTAAGGGTGCAATACATATACAGTATAGCTGGGGTGAGTAATTATTGCGGGACGGTGCACCACATCTATGCATGGTTGGGAGTACCGCGAAAGATTTAAAAGTCCCGCGGCTACACGGGGTTCACATCAACTTCCTTAGGGCTCTTAAAAAGTAAACAGACGTAATTTTTTTTAAATCATGGGCAACATTCTTGGGTGTGAGAGCCTCAGTACTGAGTGAGCAACCAATGCTGGTGCACGCAGTATGAGCTAAAAGCACTGCTGTTCAGCTTGTGACCACAGCATTGCCTAAAAATGTCAAAATATATATGTAACTGTTATTATTTAGCGATGATAGTATTACAGAAGACCCCTGACTGTGATAAAAAATGACTAGGATTTTGACAATTAGTAGGATTGTGGTGATAATTAGTGATGTTGGGAGGAGTAATCTTGGTGAGGGAGGGTGGTAGCATCGTCTGCTGACTGTGTGGCGACCTCAATTATTGTCTGGACTCACCATACCAGATTAGTTGTACAGTTGGATCACACATTATATAAATATATCACACTACACACTATTGAATAATATTACTGCAAAAAAAAAAAAATCAATCTGAGACATTGAAATACTGTAATTAGGTAAATTCTTTGTAGCAACTCCTGCCTGACAGCTCAGGCAAAACAGACAGCCTCTGACACTTGCTTAGTCAATGCCTCAATTTTGCCAGACTTCCCCACCGTATTGCGGCCAAAATATGTCACCTATGATTTTTGTATTTTTTTCCTGTGATTAGGGAACAAATGAACACTTTAATTAAGAACAAAAAATTATTTCTTGCACCTGGGAGTGTCGCAGGCTATAATTGCAAGCGCCTTGCCTCTTAAGGGTTAATGCCTCTAAATGCCATGAACAATTTCTTTAGTATTTCACCAGTCATGTATTTAAAAGTAATTCTTATATTGAAAAGTGCAGTATAGGCTCCTCGCACAATGTTTTTTGTGTGTCCTCAGGTGATAGTTTTCAATCTAGAACCACCCTTAGATCTCTCTCATCAGTGTGTAGTAATTACCTTAGTAATTATCTAAGTATAGTTACAGGAAGAGAGCTACACTTGTGGTGTCCCAGCTTCCCAATACTGTACTCTGTCAAATAATGCTTTGAAACTAAAGTACTAATGGTTTAAGCCTCCACAACCTTCTCACTTAACTTGTCCCAACAAGGCAAGATACTGTACTGGAAAGCCAAAATGTGTACAGTACTGAATGTTGTGGAGCATGAACCTACTTGGGAGTATATAAAAAACAAGTACAGAACATTGCAAAGCTTAGTACTAAATATTCTATTACAGTATTATACTAAAGGAAAACTAAGATGGCAGAATATCGTACACATTTTACCTCTTTATGCCGAACCTCAGAGCCATTTTCATCTTTGATCAAAGTGGCCAAAAAACAAATACCATACATCTCAGTGGATAAGGCGACTTTCAGACAAGACAACTGTCGAATTTAAGTTTGAGTTGCATGATTTTAGCTTACATCAGTGATACAAGACAACCCCAAAATACAATAACCATCTGTGGTGAAGCTTAGATTGGTGAGCACCAAACACCCAGACAATGATATACCAGTACAATGAATTAAATACCTTGAATGTATTATCAGTAATAAGGTATCAAACCTTAATGTATTACCCGTAAATCATTTGAACTGTTAGTATGTAAAATTATGGATAGACAACGCATGGAACAGGCAGCCAGGCAGTATATGTAACAAACGTACAGTAGTTTGATCTGGAATATGTTTCTGTCATTTAACTGATAACACTAAGAAGCAATAACACAAAAGTATACAGAGATTGCCTGTTCACCAGGTGGTTTGACTAATGCAACCACTAGACATCAGCCTGAACAAGCCATATAAAGATTATGTGCATGAAGAATGTAAGAATTGGATGACGAATGCTGAAAAATCCTTTACAAAAGGTGGAGATATGCACGCTCCATCACTTTGTGACCTGTGATTTTGTAATCAATTCATGGGATTATGGGAGAGTAATAAAATCTTTCAAAATGTGCAGTACATCTAATGCAGTGGATGGCATGGAGGACGATTTATTATGGAACACTAACAACAAAGTTGAAACCGACTCACCAGTTTCAGAATGGGACCCATATGAAAACAATGTAAACAGTGAGACTCAGGACATGCTTGGCTAATTCTCTGCCTCGGATGATGAAGCTAGTGATTTTGAAGGATTTTAATTATGTGATGCTTTTTTTTATATTTTACAATGCTTTTATTGGTTTACCCTATTTTTATGGTGGCACTGTATTTTGAGAAAAATTTTAAGGCCCCTATTTTCATACTTGGTCTACAAGGCAACCCGTAATTTTGGTGTTTTTTTATGATTAAAGCGTTATCTCATCCACCAAGATATATGGTACAGGCCCAAAAATTCAAAAGGAAACCTGACTGAAATTTTGCCAAATGATTCCAGCTGGACATAACCTCATCAACACATCAACGTCAGTAGTTTCAAAGCGTTATATGACAGAGTGCTGGGAAGACGGGACACCACGAGCGTAGCTCTCATCCTGTAACTACACTTAGGTAATTAAAAGTAGAGAAGTCAGTCAGGAAGCCGTGAAAAGCTGCATTCTTCCCCACAAATACTTCAGCACTCACTTTAATTAGCACCACACAAGTATTATACCCAAACACTGCAGACAAAACATACCCAAGTGAGACATTTACCTTTAGAGTCAAACAGGGAAGGTATACAGGGGACAGAATAGGTATGAGCAAAATAAAAACCTGTACATCAACCCTCCATACAGCACCATCCAATACAAATGGTTCCTGCACCATGGCAAATAAATATGGAAAGCATGCTCTGATCACAGCAAAGATTCCCAGACATTGCCCCATAGTCCAGTATGAAAGCGGCCTTGGGCCAGATTCACGAAAGCACTTACGCAAGCACTTACAAACGTGTACAGCTTTCCTCAATCTTTGACGGCTTTGGTTATATTTATTAAACAGATTTCAAGCATGAAAACTTTCCATTCAATTGTTGTTATTGTTATAAACAGCCTCCTGGGGCTTCGGAGCTCATTAACTGTTTAATAATTGGAAACAAAGCCGCCAAAGATTGAGAAAAGATGTACACGTTCATAAGTGCTTGCGTAAGTGCTTTCGTGAATCTGGCCACTGGTTGCCACGTTATGAATTCTAGGTTAACACTAACCTAAACCTGTTTAAACTAAAACCAGGAATGGGCAAGGCAAGCTCATAATCACATCAAGATTAGAAGTCATGGAAACTCGACAAAAAAAGAGTAAACCACGATTGATACAAGATCATATGGAACAATATGACATTCATGCATAATATATATTTTAATGTCTAAAATTTGACAATGATCATACATACATTACTGTACAAATATTCCCCACAATGCAGGTTACTTTACCCTGCATATACTCAAAATTACAATGCTTATTCAGTGTATTATACCGTTTCTAAGCCAAATCAAAACTTTTTCTTGATTTCATTTGAGTGATACATACCACTGCAACCTGTGGCGTCTGTGATGGTTCCGTCTTCCAAACCCCATCTCTGCGGTCTCCATGATCCCCCTTCTCTCCGTCATCATCTGCAGAACCACCCCCACCTTCCTCTTCATCCTCTATTTGGAGTTTGGTGATTTTCAAGTCTGTTAAATCTCTGTCAGCTTCATCCTTGAAGTCATTCCACTCCTCCTCTTCCTAGATATAAAGAAGCATGATTACTTGTTATTCTAAATATACAATATGATACAATGTTCATTCCAAATTGGTTATTTTCATCATTTTCATATTTTCAGTTATTCATCATTCCCACCAGTTATTCCAAACTTTAAAATTATTAGATCAAACTCTAAATGGACAGCTAAGCTATAACAAACTCTTCACATTCTATTATTAAATACTATATGAAAAATATAAACAATTTAAATAGTTTGGCCTATGACAGCTGTTTGCTACTTGAGATTTTACCCTAATTAAAAGGAGGCCAGCTTGAGTTGGTATTGACAGCATAAGCTACAACAGTAAGGCATGTGATAAACACTATTGGAAACTTGCAGTCAACCGTATTAACCCTTAACCCTTTCACTCTAGACACTTCTCTCAGCCCCATTACTTTTCTTGACTAAAAAATTTACAAAGAAATCTTACACCAATAATATGAAAAGTGATATAAAAAATATAAATTATTTATTGTACAATTCTATACCTGCCCATAAGTGTTGCTAAATACTGTACATGAAGCCATTATGATATAACCAATAAAAATAATATAAAATCGCAATCCCCCCCCATCTTTTTTTTTTTTACACACATGTTTACAGGTACAGTAGATTTCCAACTTCTTATTAGCAGGCTGAAAGCTTTCCCTTCCTATGGTAAGGAAAAGCTTACCCATAGGAAGGAAATGGTAAATTTTACCCATTAATTTTCCCTGAAACACAACCTAATCAGTTAACAACCAGGTTACCAATTATTGCTGGGTGAACAGAAAAGTTAAGGATTGGCACCTAGATTGGCACTTCCCTGGCTAGGATACGAACCTGAACCAAATCGCTTTCAAATGCGGGTCAAGTCTGCACCATCAGGGAAGTTAATCCTTTCTGTCCCAGAAGGGACTTGTATTATATTTGAGAAGAAAATTACATGTTCTAGCAAATATTATCAGCCACATGCTAACCGAACCCCTCAGGACTGAGATCGAATGGATAACATGTTGTGATCAGATAAGTGGTTTGTCATCCTGAAAAATTAGGGGGAAAAAATTGACAATTTTGTTGCACAAATTCAACAGTGTTTTGTTTGTAATCAAGTTCAGACCTGCTTGCTAACAATGCTCCATCAACTATAATCTTCAAGTTATTTAGATAGAAAAGGTGGTGGTGGATGATAGTAATGTATTGGGTTGACTGAAGTGGAGATTAGTGGCGATCAGGTAACCTCAGCAAATTGCTTTTACCGTGTACTCTAACGAACCTAATGCCATGGCAGTTGAAAGCTTCTGAGCCATCAATTAGCGTATGAACACTGCTCAAGTGGTGCTGTGTACGGGCACTGGGCAAACTTGTTCTATCTTTATTGCACATTTTGATTCAGACCCCACCAGTTATCCAAACTTTTTTATCCAAACAAACCCCCCAATCGAATAACAGGCATTTTCGGATAACAGGTATTCATAAAGCACGTGGCTGACCGTATCATGAAAAAATGTACCTAGCAAATGTACCATCATTAAAAGTGCATTATTAATTCTGTATACTGGTATACATAAAAAAGTGAGTCCATTATCCAAATAATGGACTCCCTGTTATACATATCCAAAGTGAATCCAAATAAAGATCCCGAGAGGGTACCTGATAACATTACTAACATCAGGCACTTTGAAAGTACAGTACAGTGTATACAAGGGGGATATACCTGTAGTACAGTAGGGTTTGTTCTCGATTCACAATTGAGAATTCCAAGTTTGAATCCCTGGGACAGAAATGTTTTGGTGCAATTTTTAACACCTAATGACCCCTCTGTTCACCTAGCAGTAAATAGGTATCCAGGAGTTAGTCAGCTTGCTGTGGAGTTGCATCCTGAGGCAGGTCAGTACTCTGCTCTGGGAAGGGAAAGGGAACCTTGATACAAGCCTAACATGTATACTGTACTGTATACAGTGGAACCCACTTTTTGAGTTACGACCCAAATTTCGTCTGAAAATTTTACTCGACTTACGACCTTTGCCTCGACTTGCGACTTTTGTTGATACAAGTAAGGGTCGACCGAGTACGTGGTTCCTGGTGGCACAGAACTTCAATTTACCAGTGTCACCCCCCTAGTGATGATCGCACTTGAATATTGTATTTGGGAGGACAACAGGATAGATGGTGGAGGGACTGGATGGATGGATGGATAGATGGTGAGGGGGACTGGATGGATGGATGGATGATGAGGGGACTGGATGGATGGTGGGCGACCTGGATGGATGGTGGGCGACCTGGATGGATGGTGGGCGACCTGGATGGATGGTGGGCGACCTGGATGGATGGTGGGCGACCTGGATGGATGGTGGGCAAACTGGGTGGATGGTGGGCAAACTGGGTGGATGGTGGGCAAACTGGGTGGATGGTGGGCAAACTGGGTGGATGGTGGGCAAACTGGGTGGATGGTGGGCAAACTGGGTGGATGGTGGGCAAACTGGGTGGATGGTGGGCAAACTGGGTGGATGGTGGGCAAACTGGGTGGATGGTGGGCAAACTGGGTGGATGGTGGGCAAACTGGGTGGATGGTGGGCAAACTGGGTGGATGGTGGGCAAACTGGGTGGATGGTGGGCAAACTGGGTGGATGGCAGGCGAGTGGGACAGGGAGGCTGGTGAGTAAAAAGGGGGGGGGAAGGAAGGAATGAATTATCATGGGAAAGCGCCAAGCCATTATGGCTATATAGCACTTGGAAGGGGTCAGGATAAGGATCTGGGATGGGACGGGGGGAAGGAATGGTGTCCAACCACTTGGACAGTCGGGAATTGAATGCCGATCTGCATGAAGCAAGATCGTCACTCTACCGTCCAGCCCAAGTGGTTGGGCAGAGTGGGGGGGGGGGGAGGGAAAGAAAATCTTTTAGAAATGCCAGCACTAGACTCGTGTAAGGGAAGAACACATGGAGGGTGAGTGGGTGGGCAGGTGATAAGAGTGGATGGATGAGTAGCAGGGTGGGTCGGAACAGAACAAGTGGGTGGGCCACAGCAGGTGGGTAGCAGGATGGTCTGGAGACAGTGGGTTAGCAGATGAGTAGCAGGGTGGGTAGTCAGAGTGGGAGGGTGGGTAACAGTGTTGAGAGTGTACCAGCTCCCGACTAGGATTAACACAGGAGTTGGTCACCCCCGAGTCCCTCCCCAAGACCCCCCATCCCACGCACCAGTTTCTGCACCCTCCTCACTATCTCCATCTCATCCCCCACAATCCCCCCCCCCCCCGCACACCTGTACTCCTCCCAGCCATATGTACGGTATTAATACGGTGGGCTTTCTTGCTACCAGCTGATAGATCGCGAGGCACATTCCAAGTGCCTGACATTAAACTTACGGTTTGCAAACCGACTGGTTGCAACTGTAAAGCCGGATTGACTGTGAATACCTGATTGACTGTGAATGCTTAACCGGTTGCTACTATAACAGTGAATGCTTGACTGCCTTTGACTGGTCTTGACTAAATGCTTAACTGACATGTTATGACTGGTTCTGACTGGCTGCTACATAACAGAGGCAGTGAATTGTGTGAAAGAAAAATCTGGAACCAGTGATGTAGATACGAAAGCGTTTAAGGCAAACGGGACAGTCTCACCACCACCTCCCTCCTCCTCACTCTCCCCATTCACCAACACCGCTCCTCCCTCCCTCCTCACTGTCTCCCATATACCAACAAGAGTCCTCAGTAGTTAAATGTTCACTTATTTTATGGTTTATATTTATACCCGATTGTTTTGTATATGAAAAATATTAGCAGTATTCTGTACAAAATGTATTTTTAAGTTAATATTTTTGGGAGTGTGGAACGGATTAATTCAACTTACATTATTTCTTATGAGAAAATTTGTTTCGAGTTACAAATTTTTGAGTTACGACCAGTCTCTGGAAATGGATGAAATTCGTAAATGGAGGTACCACTGTATAGACTGGCTGCCTGTCCCTCTGACACTTTATGAACTATGATAAAAACTTCTTGTATTTTTCACCAGGTTAGGATTATTTAAAACAAAAGTGAGAATTTCCTGCAGGTGGGTAAGGGGACGGGGGGGGGATGAATTTGGACACAGAAGGTAGGACAGAAGAGGGTAAAATGGTCAAACTATCCTTTTTGATGTGTTATAAAATATACATTTTATGACTCAAAATATAAGACATGCTACCAGGAGGAGGATTAAATCTGATACGGATTTTCCTTCAAACAGGCCCTAAAGATAGAGAGATAACAAAGCAACTCTAAATGCTTCAGATGATGAGTTCCAAGAAATAATTACCAATCAGTTTACCATGGTTCTGAAAAGGAATCCATTCAAATGTGATGTAGCCGATATCCCTACAGAGTTCAAGAAAGATTTATGAGAACTAACATAGCAAAAGATAAGTTTCAATTAGAAAGTTTAAGTGTGTTTTGGGTGAAAATGATACCCCATTTATTCTAGACTTTGTAATACTGTAATGCACTTATTACAAAGTAAATTACTTATTATTTATAAGTGTTCATCCTTTTGTCAAAATCAAAGACTTGAAAAACTCCATTCGGTGTGCAATCTATGGTGTGCCGTCAGTAATTACCCCAACAAATAGTAAAGGGGGCATCAAGCAATCATGTGCGGGATCACACGGAGGTACAGAGGTACAGTACAGTGGTTATCTTGAGGGTTATCTTGAGATGATTTCGGGGCTTAGCATCCCCGCAGCCCGGTCCTCGACCGGGCCTCCTTTTTGTTACACACCCCCAGGAAGCAGCCAGTAGCAGCTGTCTATCTCCCAGGTACCTATTTACTGCTAGGTAACAGGGGCCTCAGGGTGAAAAACTCTGCCCATTTGTTTCCGCCTCCATGAGGGATCAAACCCAAAAAGTGTTTGATCGAAAGACAGCACCACAATATTTGTAATGGTAATATTTGTTTTGACATGAAAATGTCAAATGCTTTTACCTCCGACTTATTTTTCCAAATCATACATCGTTTTCATACTTTTTTTTGGGGGGAGGGGGAGATCATTAGTCACTAATTAAATCATTTGAGGTATGTTTTATTTGAAGTAATAGAATTCAGTGAAAATTCATATGAAAAAACATCGAGTGTAAAGCTAAGTTGGGGGAGGGGGGGTTATTGACATTTTCTTGCAAAAGTATAAAATGACCTGGAAAAGATTGGGAACCCCTAGATCTTTAAAAAAAGGTTGTGATGATGTAGAATGAACCCTATGAAGATATAGAAATACAGTAGCTACATAAAATATACATAGGGTAGGCTTGCAATTATTAATGTTTAATGATTAATATTAATATCACTGAAAATACTGGTGATAAAGTTAAGCTAGCTATGTTAACAGCCAGGTGTTACACACAATTTTGAGTGTGAACAGGAGGAGAACGATATGGAAGAAAATGCAGAATAGAACCAGTGAAAGGCAGAGGTGCCATAGGTACAATCAGAGAACACTGTATAAACATCAGAGGTCCACAGTTGTTCAACATCCTCCCAGCGAGCATAAGAAATATTGCCGGAACAGCAGTGGACATCTTCAAGAGGAAACTAGATAGTTTCCTCCAAGGAGTGCCAGACCAACCGGGCTGTAGTGGGTATGTGGGCCTGCGGGCCACTGCAAGCAACAGCTTAGTGGGCCAAAATGGACCAAACTACTCCAAGCCTGGCCTCAGGCCAGGCTTGGGGAGAAGAAGAACTCCCAGAACCCCATCAACCAGGTATCAAGGTATCGGTATCGAGGAAGTTCACACAAATTTTAAAATACATGTATATCTTTATTGAACCTAACTCGATTCACTATATACAAAGAATTTAAAGCACATTGCATAATATTGGCATATAATTAATTCATTGTAATTTTAATTCATAAAACAAATACGTAATTTTTAAAACAAATAATTTGGTCAAAATAGCCGGAGCTATTTTATGCACAGGCACTTTGCCCAAGTCAAATGATTATAGCCAGAGGATTACAGCGCACGAGGAGGGAAGCAAAGTTACATTAGACTAGACAGGGCGTGGTTAGGTTAGTAAGGCAGGGACATTTACTTGGCCACGAAAACAGGAGCAGAGGCTACACCTATTTTTTTGCAAGTCACACGACTGGTGCATTGCTGAAACATACAACACGTTCTACCGTGGCAACTCATTTATGTCGCACCTTTCACAACTTGCATAAAAAAACTAAAACGTAGAATTTTATCTTTATTACGATAGGATGGAAAAGGCTAGGATTGGCTAACTTTTAATGAATGGATGATGTAGACTGACTTATATACACTTATATTATATAAAGACTACAAAATTAATGCGATACACAAGCAAGCAAAGAAATCTGCCAGGCTGGCCCCACATGCATACTCTGGCCACCACACTAGGCTCGTGTCAAGTCGGCAGTTTTACCTTCTGTGGGGGTTCATCTATCACAGGCGAGGTCTCGGAGTTCTCTTCCAGCTTTTTAACAGGCTCTGGCTTAACTTTGAGGCCCTGCTGGTGTTCTAACTTCTTCTCACAGTCCTCGAGTCGACGGGCAATTTCATCAGTAGTAGTAAACTTCTTCCCCTTCACTTTCTTCTTGTCCTTTTTAGCGAAAAAACTATCTAGATCAGCCATGATGACCTGATTTTTGACGGGCGGAATCTACCAACACCTGCACGGGGCTCGGGAAACACCAACTCCCACCAGGGTACGGAAAGACAACCAGATGGAAATAAGAAATCACATGGACCTAAACATCACCAGGAGTGAAGGCAATCAGGAAGAAACTCCCGAGGGCGTGTACTTGGGAACCGATTTCATATCTCAAATTGTCATCGACATAATACATTCGGAATGGCTATCTGTGGCAGAGAGTAGGCGCTTGTTCACCAGTGATCCGACTTGGGCATGCTTTCTTTCGCTTATACTTCACAGGCAACAGAAAACGAATTCTCATATGCCGGGTACCTAGGAATGTACTTATGGTTAATAAAATAATTACTTTCATCTCAAGCATTTGATTTAATACATATTATTGCCAGTTAAATTTGCTCTAGTATCTAGGTACAGATTTTATGCTCGTTCAATGTTGTACTTTACTGCAGGGCATTTTAATACCCTGCATGTGTGTGTGTGTGTGTATATAAAATAAAATAAAATATTTATTCATGTAAAAGTATATACATACAAGATGAGTTACAAACCGAATGTTGGATTTCTAGATAAAGCTAGTAGATACTATGCCTAAAACCATTAATACACACAGCCTTTCGGGGGAAGATGTGGGGAAAACTTTTAGACTAAAACTTTAAACTTATTGAGATCAAAGCATGAATTGAATTGAAAAAGGGAAAAAAGAAAATGATGAATGATAATAAATAATTACATGATGGATGGAACAGCAGAAATTGAAACAGAACAGCAGAAATGAAGACTACAATTTTCTTCAAATTTATACATGGCGGATACACTTAAACAAGTTGGTTAATAATTAATATTGTTAGAAAAATAGCAAGATTTGGTTGACATTTAGAGGGTAAGGTAGGTTACATGGAGTTTATTAGGTAGTACTTAGTTTTTATCTTAAATTGGTTGAGAGAGGAGCAGTCCTCTCTCAACCTCTCAAAAAAAAAGTCTGACATGATTGGGAAGGTCATTCCACATTCTTGGTCCCTTGACTGTCAGAGCATTTCTAGTTTGGTTAAGTCGCACTCTTGGAATAACAAATAGGTATTTGTTTCTGGTGTGGTGCCCATGGCTTCTGTTAAAACCTTCTAGGAAGCGTTTAAGGTCAGGATTGGCATTAATTACAGTTCAAAGTTTTAAATATACAAAGTATTTATTTATTTATTTATATACAAGAAGGTACATTGGGTTTATGAGAGTACATAGCATTGATGTATTTACATTCTTGTAAAGCCACTAGTACTCATAGCATTTCGAGCAGGTCCTTAATGTAACAGATAATTTTAATATCTAGCAAAATTGAAAAAATGTGAACAGGTACGGTGTAAGAAAATCTGACAAAGATTAATAGGTACATTAAAGTAAAATTTGAGGGTTATCAATAGGTACATTGTAGCATAATTTGAGGATTATTTCAAGGTATAATGCAGTAAAACATGCGTTCAATATAACAACCATGATAGCAATGATTACACTGGTGAAGTTGCATGGCTTAGGTGCATATATTGGGGGATTGGGTGACACTAGATAGTGAGTTTAAAGCACTAGGTAGGAAACTATGAAGATGAAATTAGGTACTTTTTGAGTTTATTTATGAAAATTAGGTACTTTTTGGTTTTATTTTAGAAAATTATGTACTTCTTGGTTTTATTTTTTAAATTACGTACTTTCTGGTTTTATTTTGAATAAGGCAAAAGTTGGACAGTTTTTCAATTCGTTAGGGAGTGAGTTCCATAGACTAGGTCCCTTTATTTGCATAGTGTTTACACAGATTAAGTTTGACTCTGGGGATATCAAAGAGATTTATTTCTGGTGTAGTGATTACGGATTCTATTACATCTGTCCAGGAAGAGTTTCAGAACAGGGTTTGCATGTATGATCAAGGTTTTGTAAATGCAAATGGAGTGAGTTTATGTTTAGCATGCTTAGGGAATTAAACAGGGGAGCTGTGTTGTCTGAAAGCAGAGTTTGTTATAGTTCTGCGAGCAGATTTTTGTTGAGTGATAATGTGCTTGAGGTAGTTTGCCGTGGTTGAACCGATGAAAAGAAGCTATTGAATTCAGTTGCCGTCTTTAAATCTGTTGCAGGTGTATAACCATCCTTGGAGAGATTTTATCTGATTATGTGATTGTTGTTTAGATCCTAGGATGTTAGAGATGGCTTTCCATGTTGCCTTTTACTTCTTTGAATCTACTCTCATAACAGGAAAGTTTTGCTTTTCTTATTATACTGGTAAGCATTGATGAGTACCTCTTAACTTCTTCCTTTGTAACTTGTCCAATCCTAAGTTTTTTTTCATATTCATGTTTTTTGTTGATTGCTTTAAGTATGCCACTTGTGAGCCACGAATTGTTTAATCTTTTGTCAGTTACTTTCTTGGTGAGGAGGGAGTAATGAGTGGTGTAGAGGCAATTTGGAGAGGAAGAGGTTAGCTAAGGAATTTATATCCCGTGTATTATTGAATTCAGATTCCCAGTTCCCAGTACTCTCGAGAGGATGTGCAGTGACATAATAGCTAATATATTCAAGGATTTAAGTAAGGGGGCTGAGTGCTGTCTGGGGCCAGAGTTTGTTATTGTTCTAATAGCAGATTTGTGTTGAGTAATTAGAGGACGTAGATGATTTTGAGTAGTAGAACCCCAAGCACAGATACTATAATTGAGATAAGGATAGATAAGAGAGTAATGGAGCAAGATATATATATATATATATATATATATATATATATATATATATATATATATATATATATATATATATATATATACTGCCAGGAGCAACGCAACTGGTATGTAAAGGACGCCTTACTCCGCTTGACCATCACGACCGGACATAAGGAAGTGATAGCCGAAGTTATTTGAACCACTTCCCCGCCGGCACTCGGATGGTAATCTTGGGCATAGCATTTTATCAAATCAGCTCATTCTTTGGGGCACACGTGAGGAACACAAATGCAAACAAGCCTGAATGGTCCCCAGGACGAATGAGGTGATTTGATAAAATGCTATGCCCAAGATTACCATCCGAGTGCCGGCGGGGAAGTGGTTCAAATAGCTTTGGCTATCACATCCTTATGTCCGGTCGTGATGGTCAAGCGGATTAAGGAGTTCTTTACATACCAGTTGCGTTGCTCCTGGCAGTATGGGTTCGAGTCACTTCTGGGGTGTGAGTTTTCAGTTATATATATATATATATATATATATATATATATATATATATATATATATATATATATATATATATATATATATATATATTATTTTTATCTTATTATATATATATATATATATATATATATATACATATATGTATATGTATACTAAACATACATACATATTGTATGTATGTACTCACCTAGTTGTGCTTGTGGGAGTTGAGCTTTAGCTCTTTGGTCCCGCTTCTCAATGGTCAAATGTATGTATGTATGTCAAGGCAGGATCTTACATCACGATGGTAGTGATGGGGATGCCCGAATTTGCTGAAAATAATATCTGAAAGGAAAGAAACATCACCGGGCCGCGGGGACACTAAATCCCCGAAATCATCTCAAGATAACCCGGTTGGTCCGGCACTTTTTTTTGTTAGAAAACAATCTAGGTTTCTCTTGAAGATGTCCACGGTTGTTCTGGCTAATATTATTCCCCTCCAGGATTGTCTATGTCCAGGGGGGACCCTTCCTGGTGGAGGTGTGGATGCTGCTTCGTGTTCTCTCTAATTTCAGCAATGAGTCGTCCTGCGACCAGAGCCATTACATCTACACCCAGGTGGCAGGCAATCACCCAGGTGATTGAACATGGGTTCAATCACTGTAATTACTGTTCAGACAGCTTAAAAACACCTAGATTTTGGCACAATGTCTAGTAAAAGCCTTTCTGGATATTTTCTCATATTGGGACATATAGTCTTAGCTAAAATGATCAAACTATGGATAGATTATGGGGGATATCCTCAATTTTAAAGGGTCTAACGACTTAATATTCAGTAATATTATGTTGGAGAGTATGATCCACTTCTTGTTGAGTTGACTCGTATACCCAAGCCGGTCCCGGGGAGTAGAACAATTCCCGAAGCCCTCTCCAGATATGCTCCGGGTATACTGCTATATTTAGAAAGGTAGAAAATATCAGATGTCCTCGAATTCGACGTCAGTAGTCCTCTCCTTGGACATCATCGAAGATATCACAAGTATCCTCATGACTTGCAAACTGAGAAATACAATACATTTAAATCTACGCACACCAAGTTAGATTGTTGAGCCTATAAAATAGACTCAACAATCCTTGCCTGTGCTATCCACTAAACTAGTTAATTTGTATAAGCACATCCATATACTTCCTAGTCTTCTCGACTTGGGTGCTACATAGCCTCTCCAGCTTGATGCCTTCTTTTGATAATTACTTCTCGACTTGGTACCTTTAGTAATTACTTAATTGGTAAGTAATTACTTCCTACACCTGTTCAAATGCAATTAAAAACTGGCGTTCATTCCTAGTAAATGTCATCTATTTATCATTACCACTTACTGTACCTGTCTTATGTGTGTAGGAATGTCTTCTCCCTAATATAGGTTTCTTATATCTAAAAAAGAACACTTCAGGATTTGTTTGTGCTTTCCATAATTTATAAATACTTTCCTTAATTCTATTTTTTTAACGGTTTTTGCTACTTTCAGTAATTGTTGTTCTAGATAAACTTTTGCCTTCTTTGTTCGCTTATACATAGCTTTCTTTCTTCCAATAAAGGGTACTGTAGTCCATGTTTATCCATTTTTGGTCATGGTTATTAGACCCTGTTGAATTATGTGGAATAATGTCCCTAGATTTTAATACTAATACAGTATTGTTTTTTGCATTCTGTACCTAATGTATTAATAACAAAAAAATTGCATTATGCATACATTGTAACCCAGTGTCAGATCATTAGTCAAGATCGCACAATTACACAACAATAGTAGATAAAAAAAAGTACAATCTTTAAATTTGTCCGGTGGTCTTGGCACCGACTCATTAATGAGGTCACACTTTTATATAACAACGACTGTTTAAAAGTGTGTGTCAAGTAGCCAAGAAAGAGAAGATTGAAGAGCGGGAGAGACAATGGCTTGAGTTCACTAGCTCTATTGGACGGAAAACATCTGCAAGACAAGTGTGGGCGAAAATTCAGATAGCTAAGGGGAGCAGAATCCGGCCTGCGGCTCACAAAGACCCCCAGGGTAAGGCTGAGGAACTAATTCACAAGTGGAGTGATGCAGCATCCTCCTCCTCCCTCCCAGCAGAAGTAAGCAGGGAACAGCTCCTGCGACATAATGACAGAAGAATAAGGATAACAAGAGCACTGTCTAGTGATGACGAATATAGGGAACCAATCACAGCCCAGGAAGTAAGGGGCTATGAAAAAGGGTAAAACTACAGCACCTGGTGAAGATGGCGTCACCTACGACATACTTAATGCACTGTGTGAAGTGTCTGGGAATCCACGACTCCACCTGTTTAACAAGTCATTCCTAAGTAGAGTGTTGCCCTCATAATGGAAACACGCAATAATTGTTCCCATATCGAAGCCCAATTAATGACCCTGGCAATTACAGACCTATCAGTCTCATGTCATGCACTTGCAAGATGCTTGAAAGGATCATCCTAAACCGACTGTTGCACAAAGTAGGCAGGTTAGGGGAGGGGGTCAATGGATTTGTTAAAGGACGAAGCACAGCAAACTGTATAGTTAATTACTTGGCTAATGACACGACTAGGTACTCTGTATTTGTTGACATCAAAGGAGCCTTCGACAAAGCGCAGGGGATAGCGATCCTGAACGAGCTTGCATGCATGGGTGTCAAGGGGAGACTCTTGAAATGGGTTGAAGACTACCCCACAGGGAGGAAGGCCAAGGTCTGCTTCAATGGAGCAGTCTCAAGAACAATGAATATGGAACTCGGGACCCCCAAGGCGGAGTCATCCTACACTATTACCATCCTACATTATTGAATAGTGTAGGGCGAAGCTCTACACTATTCAGTGTACTTATGAACGCCATTGCAAATATTTATTTTCCGGAAGGAACACAAGTGGGATATGCAGATGATGTCCTAATAAGCTCCCACCTTAGGAAAAATTAAACAGTCCATTGAACTCCTTGGAAGGAAATGTATTGAGCTCGGTTTCACTCTCTCCACAAACAAGACGAAGGCATACTCCCATCACAAGTGGGGGGGGGGGGGATGAAGAACTACAAATTAATGGTGTAACACTTGAATGAGTTGACCACTAGAGGTACCTTGGCGTCACTGTCGACTCTCACAAGGGGAAGACAGAGGAGCTCAACCAACTCATAGGAACATGCAAAAGTCGAATCAGGGCACTGAAAGCTATGACCTGGAATGGACATGGAGCCTCTATTGCCGTCCTTAAAATGATGTACACAGCCTATGTGCGGTCCGTCATAGACTATGCCGCACCAGTTTTGTGTATCTACTCCCAAAGCGATATGAAAAGACTCGAAAGCATACAGAATGAAGCAATGACAATCATTCTTGGAGTTCCAAGAACTGCCAAATCGTCTAATCTATGAAAGGAGTTGTCCCTCCTGTATTAAAAGCAGGATTAAGGAACTGAATGCTAAGCTTGCAATTAGGATAGCCAGAGATCCCTATTACAATGATATTGCCAAGAAAACACTAAGTTCTGTGCTGCTAACAGCAGGAAACAGGTGAAGCAAAAAATGGCATCACAGATCAGCTTGATACCTCGAAGAACTTCACCTGCTTGAGCAAGCCTGTGAGCTCATGCCTGTAGAGAGGTTACCTCCCTGGGAGGATGACTCATGCAGGATTATCATCAATGAAATGGCAACAAAACAATCCAACATGATACCACAAGAAATGAAGCACAAGTATCTCGGGGACATTTATAAAGAAGCGGGAGATGAACTAGCTCAAATTTACACTGATGGGTCATCTACTCCTGTCAATGGCAGGGCTGGTGCAGCATTCACTGTAATTAGGAATAATGCCTTTCAACGCAGAAACGAAGAAAAAGCACGCATTGAGAACTATGCCTCTTCAACGCAAGCGGAACTAACTGCCATTGTTATGGCATTAAGATGCCCTGAACGAAACACTAATGGCGCAATGATCTGCACTGATTCAAAAGCAGTGCTACAAAGCCAAAGTAAAAATCGAGCAGAAAATCTTGCGATAGTTGCTGAAATTAAGTGAGCTGTGAGGGTACTAATCAACCCGGGAAGAGTCGTCAAGTTCCTGTGGATCCCCTCCAATGTTGGAATATGTGGGAATGAACGAGCAGATGTGCTGGCTGCTGAAGGAGACCATATTGAATACTTCATACCCAAGACTCTGCTACAAATTAGAGGTATTGTCAGGCAACATCACCGTGACAAGGTAACTGAGGAAAGGAGGATAGAAGCACAAACCAGTGAATCTGTACGCTGGTACAACATGGTTGCAGCTGGCAACCCTAATCATAATGGACGAAGAGGAGGTGGCCGTGGGAGACACTCAGTAATAGCGAGAATCTGTCTTGGATACAAATATCCATGGCGATTCGGAATGGAAACGACAGCTGAGCAGCGGTTGCTGAGCAGCAAATCTTCTTGTTTGAGGAGATGTTCACTTAAGACAGTTAAGCAAGTCCCAGCTGTGTCTGGGTACGAGTGACAGGATGAACAACCCAGCGGGGTTTCTTCCTATTGGGGAGAGTTGTACATGCTGCTATGGCGATATGTCCACCCACAGGATGAGTGGCGCTGCCCAATAAACTCGCCCCTCGGGGCAAAATGTTAAATTGTAAACTGAGAATACGATCTCCAAATATATCCCGGGGGTCTTGGCACAGACTGGTTTACTATTCGATTATTTGGGCGAGGTTTTTGGCGTCTTGGTTGACAGACGTTCCTGTAAGTCTGCCACGGTCTCCAGGAGCGGCCGGCCGTTGGTCTCCGGCAGGAAGACTACGAGACTCCCGGCCAGGACGCCACACAAGCCAAACACCACCACGGGCAACCAGGGATGGTCCACGGCCTGTCGGGAGACGTTATTATTAACACATGAATGAGACGCCATTGAATGTTGGCCTCCGAATGCATTATTTACTGTATAAAATACCTTACTGTATCTACACCCACGCACTCGTATAATGACCAGGTTAAAAGGGACCCAGAGGGTAAAGAACGAGCCGCCGACTCACCAGGTACTCGGTGAAGAAGGGCGGGACGCAGTAGCCGAGGTTGGCGGCAATGATGCAGAGGGCGGACCCCCACGGCCGGAGGGTGGTGGGCAGCAGCTCCGGCACGAATATATAGTTCACCTGAAGGGCGGTCAATGTTCTCCACTGTGTTAATACATCGATTCTCACATGTTATTCACGGGAATGCAACACTGACGATACCATGGTACAGGAACATAACATTGACGATAATATGGTACAGGAACATAACACTGACGATAACATGGTACAGGAACATAACATTGACGATAACATGGTACACGAAGTTAACACTGACGATAACATGGTACAGGAACATAACATTGACGATAATATGGTACACGAAGATAACACTGACGATAACATGGTACAGGAACATAACATTGACGATAACATGGTACACGAAGTTAACACTGACGATAACATGGTACAGGAACATAACATTGACGATAACATGGTACACGAAGTTAACACTGACGATAACATGGTACAGGAACATAACATTGACGATAACATGGTACACGAAGATAACACTGACGATAACATGGTACAGGAACATAACTGACGATAACATGGTACACGAAGATAACACTGACGATAACATGGTACAGGAACATAACATTGACGATAACATGGTACACGAAGATAACACTGACGATAACATGGTACAGGAACATAACTGACGATAACATGGTACACGAAGATAACACTGACGATAACATGGTACAGGAAGATAGCACCAATGAATATATGACACAGGAAGATAACACTGATGATAACATTACATACGGAGACAACACTGGAAGATAACACTGCTCAGGAAGATAACAGTGATGATAACATTACACACGGAGACAACACTGGAAGATAACACTGCACAGGAAGATAACAGTGACGATAACATTACATACGGAGACAACACTGGAAGATAACACTGCACACGAAGATAACAATGACGATCATACAGCGCTGGAAGATAACACTGCACACTGCACACGAAAACAACATTGATCACAACACCCCCCAAAACCCTACGAGGCTCAACCTACGTACACTACCTACACAAACTGCTTACCCAAGTTAGAAGAGCAGAACTCACCTGGTATGAGGTACAGACCAGCAGGTAACTCACGAGGACCAGTGCCAGGTCGACCCACTCTGTAAGAACCATTGATACCCTTAATTGTAGGTATTTCCCATCCGTGGAAACTGTCTTCTGGTCGGACAGGGGGTGGGGTGGGGGGAAGGGGGTAGCATCTTTACATTTTCTTCAGGCTTCTGTGACATGGTTCAGTCATTATTTTGGTTGGGTCAGGCCTGCCAACCTCCGGGAGTGGGGGGGGGTATTTAAGAACCAGCAAATATACTTTAGTTCTCAGTATAGTCGAGGACTAAAGTAAAAACTTGTGTTATACACCGAGAAGCAGGGTATATATATATATATATATATATATATATATATATATATATATATATATATATATATATATATATATATATATATATATATATATATATATTTTTGTCACATTCTTAATCACGTGTTTATTTTCGTGATATACACATATATATATATATATATATATACACACACGAAACAATGGATACAAATTTGATAAATTTAGATACAGAAAAGAACTAAATATATACAGGTTAGGAAAGAGCATTGAAGAAAATAGCAAATAGTTAGGGAATATCATTGAAGATTGCGAAAAGATGTACAGGTTCACAAGGTAATACGTCAATGGTTGTTGAATCCTGTTCTCAGGTAACATGAGAGGCATGGAGGGTCACTGGCTTGTTTCACACATAGTTAAGACAACTATACGAGTGTGTGGTAGTGCTTAAGATGCCAAGCATGGAATAATATGCTTGTTGCATATTCCTCTGTTCTTATGTTCATGCACACTCACCTCCACAGCTGAGAGTTGTAGGAGAAATGTACAGTATACAGAAGGTAAGGAATATTAATATGGGAGTTAAGAAAGGATAAAGATATCATGCCAGCCCTGACACAGACCAGAAACTCTTGGTATGAAGAGGGGCAGAGTGCTCAGGTGTACAGGTACTGAATATGTTTTTTTTTACAAAACCAGTGTTGTATGTATGAAATGGGTACAGTAATGATGAGGCATATGAGACACGCTGTATAAATGACAGGGTCGAAGGTATTCAACTAACGTGGAGTGGGTGAAGCATTAGATGGTATGCATCTGTTAACGAGAAGAGTGTACAAGTGTGAAACAAAATGTGCATGAAATGTATTGAGCCATCCACGTGGCTTGTTCATGCTGTTATGATGTTCATGTTGTACTACTATGTACTGCTCTCTTGTTACATACTGGAGGGAGGGAGTTATCAAGGGGAAAGCGCCAAGCCATGACGACTATATAGCACTGGGAAGGAGGTCAGGATTAGGATTTGGGATGGGATCTCCATTTCTCCTGGAGAAATGTTTGCTGTAGCTACACCCTGGGATGAGGAGTTCCCGTGAAGGAGTAAGGTGTAGCTGGGATTAGACAGATAGAGCAAACAGAGTTGAGAGAGTATGTGACATATTATATGAAAAGATAGGCGGACAAGGATAGAAAATCACGCGCAGCAACTCTTGGGATATCGAATGCTTCTTCAGTGCCCCTTTGGAATTTAAATCTGGGTATTTTGATGGGCTCTTGGAACTTACGGTTGGTGATCATCTTAGCTCTTGGAACTTACGTTTGTTGATCATCTTAGCTCTTGGAACTTACGTTTGTTGATCATCTTAGCTCTTGGAACTTACGCTTGTTGATCATCTTAGCTCTTGGAACTTACGCTTGTTGACCATCTTAGCTCTTGGAACTTACGCTTGTTGACCATCTTAGCTCTTGGAACTTACGCTTGTTGATCATCTTAGCTCTTGGAACTTACGCTTGTTGACCATCTTAGCTCTTGGAACTTACGCTTGTTGACCATCTTAGCTCTTGGAACTTACGCTTGTTGACCATCTTAGCTCTTGGAACTTACGTTTGGTGATCATCTTAAATCTTAGAACTTACATTTGTTGACCATCTTAGCTCTTGGAACTTACGTTTGCTGAGCATCATCATAGCTCTTGGAACTTTATTCTGGAATATATTAAATGCCTAGAAGAGCATACATACACCGACAGGAACCTGAGATAGGATGTCCCCGGGCCACTCACCACTCATGACGATGGTTAACTGCAAGATATAGAGAAGGAAGAGGAAGCTGCCGCTGAGGATGAGGCAGACGCCGATGACGACCCGGCGTCCGAGGTGTTTGGTGATGGGCGCAGTCAGCGAGTACGCCGGGATCTCCACCACCCCCAGCAGCGCCATGTACACGAACGGGGAACTGCGAAAGATTATCGATGTTTATATGTATTTGTGTAAATGATTGTATATATATATGTGCATGTACATATATCATTAATAATTGTGTAACTAGCTTCAAAATATTGTTATTTGCTTAGCTAAACGAACTATGTGGTTCAGTTCCTGAACCGATTATGTAACCATTTCCACCACCGCCCACGGGATGGGTATGGGGTGCATAATAAAGAAAGAAATTGAAAATTGCCATAGCCATGATGTCATTAACATCTATGTAGAAATAAGTGTGCACGAGAATGAAAGTACGCACGTATGTACATACATATACACACACACACACACACACACACACACACACACACACACACACATACAGGACCAAGTGAACAACGTTCAGGGGTATATATTTTCACCTGGTGCACCTGTTCACCTAGGTGTAAATGGGTACTTGGGAGTTAGACAGCTGTTACGGGCTGCTTTCTGGGTATGTGTATGTGTTAAGAGAGAAATATATGTAGTAAATACAAATGTACCACACACAAAACATACACACACAAAAGGCTGCGTGAAATACACCTCACGTCGCTGGAAGACAGAATAGTAAGGGAAGACATGATCACTACCTACAAAATTCTCAGAGGAATTGACAGGGTAGATAAAGATAAACCGTTTAACATGGGTAGTACTCAAACAAGGGGACACAGGTGGAAACTGAGTACCCAAATGAGCCACAGAGACATTAGAAAGAACTTTTTAATGTGTCAGAGTAGTTAACAGATGGAATGCATTAGGCAGTGATGTGGTGGAGGCTGACTCCATACACAGTTTCAAATGTAGATATGATAGAGCCCAGTAGGCTCAGGAACCTGTACACCAGTTGACTGACAGTTGAGAGGCAGGACCAAAGAGCCTGAGCTCAACCCCCCTTCAAGCACAACTAGGTGAGTACACCCAGAGCACTGGGAAGACGGGACACCACGAGCGTAGCTATCATCCTGTACGTACACTTAGGTATTCACACACACACACACACATACTGCATGATTATTTTATTAGGACATAGCTATTTAAAAAACAACAAAGGGGCACCATACATAAAGCAAAGTGCGAGGACACTTCACAAGTGGAGTGTCCTGGGCCCCCATCACTGGACCTGAGATGTCTCCACATAAACGCCTCAGTTAGTAACATTTGTTATTTCACCAAGGCATTAAATAAATTCAACGTACAGTACTCAAAATTGCTACAGGACTACTTAAATTTTAATCAATTTATAATAGATGGGTAGCTACAGTAGAATGCTGAAAATGTAGAGGCTTGATGTTATGACAGATACCAGATATCAGCTACAGTAGAATGCTGAAAATGTAGAGGCTTGATATTATAACAGATACCAGATATCAGCTGCGCTTTAAAATTGAGAAATATGAAAAGATTTAGGAGTTATCATTTATTAAAAGGACTCGTAACCCAAGAAATCAATGTAAAATGAAATAAGACAAATAGGATACACAGATGTATATCTTTGTGTATTATATGTCTTATAGAACACGAAGATTTATCAATGTTAGAGTACCCTGTATTGTTGTAATCCACAATTCGCTGTGTTCGGAATGAATCTGGGTCATCGATCACCACAGTATCCTCTGATGATTACTACGACCTGGAGCAAGTTACTACACGGTAGCCTAGCACTATATTATTGATTCTAACCATACATATACTGGAGAGATATGTAATTGTTGGTTGCAACAACGAACACACGTGCTACTGAACATGAGAACTTACTACTACTGAACATGAGCACATAATGAGCGAGATCTAGACAAGGAGGCATTCTGGCTATGTTCCCCAGGACAGTCGTGGAGTAGCATGAACGAAAACCATTAAAGTACGACCATGCCCCCACGACACACAAACCATCGTTGCCGAACTGACCTTTGACAATCATAATACTAATGTCATGATTAGCACTGACTCCAAACAAGTCGTTCAAACCCTAAGGAAGACTAAGCCACCTGGGAACATAACGTACTCACCTAATTGTGCTTGCGGGGGTTGAGCTTTGGCTCTTTGGTCACGTAATGACCTAGATGTTCAAACTCCTCAGAATCATCATCATAGAAAGAACTGGCTCTCTAGTCATGTTGAGAGCTATGGAGATGAAATTGTAGACAAACCAGGACACTGTGGATGGCATTATACCAGCTAATACGTCAGCTACAGAGAGCTATAAAGAGAGAACGGAAACAAACGCCTGCAACAGTGCTGTTCTCATCTCAACCACCACCACAAGCTTCTGTATATATACACACACACACCTGCTGATGGATGATGGTGACCGTCATCATTTGTCTTCCCTCTACTAGTTTTCCCTGCAACACAACCCGCCAATCGACTTACAACCGGGTCCCTAATTACCGAGGAATGAACAGGGGTGAACAGGCATCCTGCAGCCTACCAGTCCCTACCAGGCCAGGGATCGAACCCGGCAGAATTTTATCGCAATGAGTGGGGTGAGCTGAGAAAAGGAGTTTAAACCTACTACATGTCAGAAGTTATACCCTACACCCACCTGTAAAAAAAATTATATTTTTACTAAGATTTACTAGACTAGGATTTGCACTATAGAGGATAAAACCCTCAAATATTGTGGAAGATCACGAAAGATAATCCCTCGGCCACTACTTGCTCAATTGTAATAAGATCCAGCTGCCAAGACACCATCCATATCCACATAATGTGTATATATCCAGAGAATATGTATATATACACAAAGAATAAGTCAAAGCTCTATTTCTTATAGATTATTCAACTCTAAAGGCCCGAATTTCTCTGATAAAGTTCAAGTACGTTTATTGAGACAAGAAAAAAATACATCTCAAAGGGATAGAGTAGCTTAGGCTATTTCTACCCCATGATAAAAATGAAATAGTCAAACAAATAAAGATATAGGAAGCTATGAACAAAAAAATGTGGTGTACATTTTCAGTGGAGCAATACCCCTCAGGTGAAGGGGAGAAATACCCCTCACCTGAGTGAGGGGAGAAATACCCCTCACCTGAAAGCGCTGGAGTTGAGGGGAAGCCCCAAGTAGACGACGCCCTGCAGGAACCACAAGGCGATCAGCACGGCCATCATCTTCCTCAAGGCACTGCTCCTCACAAGAGCCACGGGCCCCGCCCACCACGACCCCACACCGTCCTCGGCTCCTAGCTTATTGTCGCAGGTGACGCCGTAGCCGCCCTCAGAGCCATACTTCAGGCCACCATGCACCCCGGGGCCCGCGCTGCTGCTCATCATCACGCCCTCGCCGCCATCTATCGTCGAAATCTGAATTTGTTTCTCGTCCTTTAACGCCCCGCTGGTTTGACTGGTCTGCGGAGCAGAATAACGGACTTTATGGTGTTATTAAATGTAGTTTACATATTCTTGGTCATATTGTTGTTTGGAATTAAAATTAATGCATCAGCCGAAGGGGACAGCCGAATTTAATATTTACACATACATAAATTACAAATTAAAAAGTTTGATGAAAATGTGCTCGTTGAATATATATTATATTAATTAACCGAAAGAAACGAGGAAGTGGTAGTAAATGAGGGAGGAACCAGGGAATGAGAGAGAGAGAGAGAGAGAGAGAGAGAGAGAGAGAGAGAGAGAGAGAGAGAGAGAGAGAGAGAGAGAGAGAGAGAGAGAGAGAGAGAGAGAGAGAGAGAGAGAGAGAGAGAGAGAGAGAGAGAGAGAGAGAGAGAGAGAGAGAGAGAGATATAGAGAGAGAGAGAGATAGAGAGAGAGAGAGAGAGAGAGAGAGAGAGAGAGAGAGAGAGAGAGAGAGAGAGAGAGAGAGAGAGAGAGAGAGAGAGAGAGAGAGAGAGGGGGGGGGGGGGGGGGGGGGGGGAATACACGAAGAGGATGTTATAAAAAAACGGTTGGTTTGAAATTGAAATTGAAATTGAAGTAAGTTTATCGAGGTAAAATACACACAAAGGAATGAGGTAAGCTCAAGCTATTCTTACCCCGGTCAGTACAACGTGTTCATACATATATAGAAACATCACAAACAATAAACATTACCAAACGGTTGGTATACTTTCTAAAATAAGATATTATTGTTCCTCACTCTGCTTTCCTTCCGTTATACTACGCACTAATCACTGCAAAAAATTTGCTTATCAGAATAAATAACAAACTGTCTTCAGACAACATACAGCCCCTCTATTAAATATAAATATATTATATATTAAGTCCCTTAATATGCTATACACTCCAAACATTCTCATGTGCCATCTACATTTACAAAACCCTTGTTCCTAAATATTAATCTTGATCTGAAACTTTGCCTTGATAGATGTAATAGAACCCACGAGCACCACACCAGAAATAAATATCTGATATACCCAGAGCCAGACTCAATCTGTGCAAACACTCCATGCAAATATAAGGACCCAGTCTTTGGAACTCACTCCCTGATGAATTAAATACTTGTCCAACCCATCCCTTGTTCAAAAGTAAAATAAAAAAGTACCTAATTTCATCTTCATAGTTCCTACCTTGTGCTTCAAACTCACACTGTATCTTGTACTACCCACTTCCCCAACATTATTACTCAAGAGGAAAGTCCACTACGGGCTCACCGTAGCCCGTGCTACTGGAAACTTTTTGTTCCAGGTAGCGAATCATAAACAACAACATACTCAAGACATATATCCTTACCAGTGTAATCACCTCTGTCAACTTATGTTGTAATTATTTGTTGATTTAAAAACCTTGCTACAATGTCCCCTTTCATCTTACCTGATATGTTAGATTAAGGACTTGCTCGAAACGCTATGCGTGTTAGTGGCTTTGCATGAATGTAAAGATATCAATCTTATGTAATCTCACCAACCCTTTATACTTTCTTGCAAATAAATTATTATTATTATTACTAACTGTACCCGGCCACGCGTTGCTGAGCCACAGCAACCCTCCCCTTTCCCCAAATCCTCCCCACCATTTCCCCCCTCCCCTGTCCCCTCTTCCTCCTTGTCATTCCCCCCTCCCTCATCCCCTCGCCCTCCCCACCATCCCCCACTCCCTTGTCCCCTTGTCCTTCCCACCATTCTCCACTCCCCCGTTCCCTCGTCTTCCCCAACATCCCCCACTCCTGTCCCCTTGTCCTCTCCACCATTCCCCACTTCCTTGTCTGACGCGTTCCCAAATGATCCGACGTTCTCATTAGAAAAATAGGAACATCAAATGATATGATGTTCCCATCACTGAAAAATAAGAACAGTTAAAAAGTCAAAATGAAAAACAATGAAGAAATATAAATATAAACTATACTCACGAAATGAATGGTATGGTAAACAACACAGCTCAATTACCTGTCCATGGAGGACAGAAGAAAATGTATATATGCTGGTAAGCAATGTAAATGTGTGGCCACGTCTGTGGTAGAAAATAATAATAAAAAAAGCTCAATTTCAACACAATATCAAACAATATAATTAAATCAAAATGAAAATAAATCGAAACCTATGAAAATTAAATTTATCATTGCAATCGGAAACATTGATATGGAATCGTAACATATTTAGTATAGCGTGTGTTGCTTTTACATGCAACAGATGGTGCTTTTTTTTAAGTATGTTTTTACCTGTCACAGGTGTGGCATCTATATAGTAGGTATATAAAAATGCGCGTATTTGAATTGAATGTTGTGTCAAAATTTCAAAGCAATAGGTGAAGAACTTTCGGAGATTACAGCGTGTGTTGCTTTTACGTACAACAGATGGTGCTATTTAAAAAAAAAGCATGGTTTTACCTTTCACAGGTGTGTAACCTGTATATAGTAGGTATATAAAAACATGCACGTATTCGAATGCAACGTTGTGTCAAAATTTCAAAGCAATCGGTAAAGAGGTTTTGGAGATTTCCCTTACATGAAAACTCACATGAAAAACAGTTAAAAAAAAATATTTTACTGTCACAGACGTGACACCTATATAGTAGGTATATAGAAACACGTTCGTATGCGAATGGAACATTGTGTCAAAATTTGAAAACAATCGGTGAAGAACTTTTGGAGATTAGCGATTTTGAACAAACGAACATTTACATTTTTATAGATTAAAAACATAAATTATTGACTTAGTTATGTTAGTTTAGGTTAGGTTAAGATAGGTTAGGTTAGTTTGTGCTACCTCATCCCTTTGTGTGTATTTTACCTCAATAAACTTATTTAAATTTCAAATTCAATAAAATAACAACAGTAGAAGTTAAGAAATACTTCTGTGATCAGATAGGTATAGGAACAAGATAGGTATAGGAACAAAAGGCGCCGTACACTGTTCCTTCAACTACAGGAGGAATGGGAGCACATCAAAAGCTCACCTTGGGGGTGACAGAGATGATAGCAGAGAGTGTGGCCGGGTCTGGCAGCTGCACACGGTTGAGGCGCGCCCCACGCTGCAGCACCACCACCGCCTCCTCCAGGTACCCGTGCACCACCAACCACCGGGGCGACTCGTCCACCACGCTGATGATGATGATGATGATGATGATGATGATGATGATGATGATGATGATGATGATGATGATGATGATGATGATGATATTATTATTATTATTACCACACACACACACACACACAGACTGTGTGTGTGTGTGTCAGAAATCCTTTGACACAGTACGCCATAAGAGGCTGTTACAAAAGTTGGAGAAACAGGTAGGAATAAAAGGTAAGATGCTTCAATATAAAGGGGTATCTAAGCAACAGGAAACATTACGGGCTATTGTCTATTGAATACCATGATTAAGGACTGGTTAGAAAGGTGGGGTACAAGAGCCTGCTCAATTATGCAGGCACAAACAGTAAAGACACACACACACATAAGATGCAAAGATTGTTTAAATCCAACAGAAACTGCAGAAAGTTGCAGGAATACCTTGAGTAGGCAAATAAGTAGTTACTAGAATTCAATCCTAACAGGTGTAAGGTAGTTAAGATGGAAAAGGAGATAAGAAGGAATCTGGAAAAGTATATTAAAAGGAATTTAAACTACGAAGGAAGCAACTACATGACTCAAAAGCAAAAATATTTGGAAGTGGATATAGTTCCAACGCTAACAACGGAAGCACACGTGAACAGGGTAACATCAGCAGCACATGAGATGTTGGCAAACATGGCTTTAAAGGCATTCTACATAGCCAACATTATACAAATACTAGAATATGTAGCGTCGGCCTGGGACCCCATATTGTGAATCAAAAAACAAAAATTGAAAAAAGTAGAGGTTTGCAACAAGATTAGTACCAGAGCTAAGAGGATTAAGCTATGTGAACAGATCGAGAAAGCAAAGTCTCACAATTATTAGAGAAGAAAATAAACAGAGGTAATATGATCACAACATACTCAGGGGAATACATGTGGACAAGGACAGCCTCTTTAAATTGAGAGGAAGTAAGACAAGAGGACATAGATGGAAATGGGGTCCCTTGGAACAGTGATAAGCGCAGTCGGGTCATAATTTTAAGGTCCCTGGTTCAATTCCCGTTTCAGGACAGAAGCGTTTGGGTTCTTTTCTAATGATGCCTCTCCTAACCTAGCAAGTTGGACAAATGTTGTTGGGGAATTAGACAGTCTGTTAAGCTTAGCGACCATCGACTGTGGCGGAACCATTCTTTAACAATCTAAGAACCGGTTGTCATATAGTCATACTGACTTTGCGCTTTCTCTTCATAATTAACACTTATAATATGATGAATTGTCCATCCTTATTTACCATTAATCATTATACAATTCAAAATGCTGAACGAGTCGTGAGAAAGAAAAAAATTACATATACTCTTCAAATGTATCAAAATATCTTAAAATTTGCAAATCGATTTCAATATGTCTAACTTGATATATATCTTTTATACACAACATTTTGCAATGTACAAACATAATATAGTTTGTTATTATTGTTAAAGAAACAGTAGAGACAGATGCGAGTGAGGAGATATTATTACTTAGTTATTGTGAGGCCACATTCTGATGCCAACAGCTAGCAGCATTTGCCAGGTCAAAGCGTGTTATAAGACAGAGAGCCAGGTAGAACATAACCTGTAACTCGTGAGGAAACCAAGTCGCCTATCGTGTCGTATACTCTTTATTCGTGGGGCTATCATGTTCGCCTCCAGAAGTGAAAGAGTTAAAGATTCCTAGCGTTAATGAGGAATCAAATTTATGATAAATTGTTAGGATGTCGTCCAGTACACCAGATTCAATAAAATAATTACACAGTTGGTGGTACAATAGGCCACGAGCAAAATCGTTTACAATTTACGGATTATGAATTCATAATCATGACCAAGAGGAATAAACCCACGCACCAACTGTTCCTGAAAGACAGAGAACGACTTACAGTATGAACGGAATGAGGAGAAAGCTGGGGAAGGAGGCGGCGAGGTGTAGGGTGCGCCAGTCCCTGATGGCGTAGGCGAGGAGGGTGAGGACGATCATCATGATGGCGTACGGTAGCGCCAGCATCACCCCCACGGTAGGTCGCAGGCGTGGCACACACACCTCCATAGCTGCCAGGGGTACACACACACACACACACACAATAGTCACCCCAGAGCCGGGGAACGGGGTGAGAATAGCTTGAGCTACCTCATCCCTTTGTGTGTATTTTACCTCAATAAACTTATTTCAATTTCAGAGCCGGGGCACACCCGCCGCTCACAAGATTCTGTGTATGCAATACACATCATCTATAGACTCCAATACTACGTTCCCCGCTCTGTCTTGACAACAAACACTAGGGCTAGATTTAGTGTATTCGTTGGTCAACCTGTCCTCTCGAATGATACACTGTTTTAACGTCAAACTCTCCAACGGACAAATAAAGGGGTACTGTAAATCTCAGCGGCTCAAAAACATTCACGTTTTCTATGCGTTCAATTCAAGTTCAAGCTCAAGTATGTTTATTGAGACAAGAAAGAAATACATCTCAAAGGGTGAGAGTAGCTTAGGCTATTTCTACCCCCCCCCCCTCCTTCTTCTATGCGTTGTCGATAGCTTAGCTTAGGTTGAGTTAGGTTCGAGCATTTTAGTACACCATTTTCTGTCTTTTGTGGCAACCCGAGAGGACGGGCTGGAGCCACACTTATTAATCATATCTTTATTGGCAAAATTAATTAAAATCTTGCCTAATCTGAGTAATTCAATTAGGTCTTACTAGAGTGAGGATGATGCTCGTATTCACTGTCACACAGGACAGAGGATCATACACAAGACAAAATGTCTGAACTGTAAACGCCTGCTAATTCCACTAATGTTAATGAGATAATCCTTTCCCTTAAAACAAAGTCTAATGCCCTTGCTGAGATACCAACTCTAATTTACCTCCAGATTTTTAGCTCGTGCCATTGTATTGCTCTACAACAAGTCACTTGAACTCCAAACCTTTCCAGATATTCTAAAAAAAAAAAGTGAGAATAACCCCAGTCCATAAATGTGGTGATCTCACTGATGCCAACAACTTCAGACCTATATCACTTCTGCCAAACTTGTCAAAAATATTTGAAAAACTAATCTACAAGCAGCTTTACTCTTATCTAGCCAAACACAATATACTTAGGCTCTTGCCAATATGGCTTCAGACCCAAAAAAAGCACTAACGATGCACTTATTAGTATGATTAACTTGATACATGTAGCTCTTGATAAAAATGAGTTCCCTGTTACGTTATTTGTGGACCTGCGTAAGGTTTTTGACACTGTCAACCACCAAAACCTTCTTCTTTAAATTACATCATTATGGAGTCAGAGGTCACTCCCTGCAATACCTTAAGTCTTACCTTACTGACAGGCTCCAGTATGTTTCTGTGAATAATTCAATTTCTTCCACCTTACCCATCAACATTGGTGTTCCTCAGGGCAGCATACTTGGCCCCTCCCCTCTTTCTCATCTACATTAATGACCTTCCACATGCCTCTCAACACCTCAAACCAATTCTATTTGCTGATGATACAACCTTCATTTTCTCCAGTCCTGACCCTCTTGCTCTAAATGTCACAGTGAATACTGAACTAAATAAAGTCCATCTTTGGCTAACTGCTAACAAACTCAACCTTAATATTGACAAAACTTTCTATATTTTGTTTGACAATAAATCCTCAAATCAAATTACTCTAAGAATAAACAATATCCAAATTAGTAACAAAGCAGATGGCAAATTCCTTGGTGTTCTCATCGATAACAAGCTGAATTTCCAGGGACATATTCTAAATACATGAAAAAAAGTTTCTAAAACTGTTGGCATTCTTTCTAAGATCAGATATTATGTACCTCGCCCTGCCCTGGTGACGCTCTATTACTCTCTCATCTATCCTTATCTCAATTATGGTATTTGTGCTTAGGGTTCTACTACATAAAATCATTTATGTCCTCTAATTACTCAACACAAAGCTGCTATTAGAACAATATCTAGCTCTGGACCCAGACAGCACTCGGTACCCTTACTCAAATCTTTGAATATGTTAGATATTAAGTCACTGCACATCCTCTCATGTGTACTCATGTGTAAATATATATATATATATTTAAAACTCTGAACTGTAATGTCAATCCTGACCTTTGAAGCTTCCTAGAAGGTTGTAACAGAACCCATGGGCATCACACCAGAAACAAATACCTATTTGATGTTCCAAGAGTGCGACTTAACCAATCTAGAAATGCTCTACAAATCAAGGGACCCAGAATGTGGAATGACCTCCCTAATCATGTCGAAGGCTGTACCTCTCTTAACCAGTTTAAGAGTAAAACTAAGTACTACATAATTAACTCCATGTAACCTACCTTACCCCCTAAATGTCAACCCATGTCTTTCTATTTTAAACAATACTGTTTGTTCAACAACTTGTACAATTGCTAATTTCTGCCATGTTCCTCCCCCTCTTTTTCTTTTTTTTTATTATTTTTTCCAACACAATTTATACTTTAATCCCAATTACTATTAAGTTTTAGTCTAAGTGGGTTTTTTTCCACACCTTGCCCGAAACGCTATGCGTATTAGTGGCTTTAGGTATAGTATGTACTAGCTCTATCTATGAATCCGACATTATGTTCGTAACTCATCATCTATGTATGTACTTTTCCTGAATATAAAATTTAATTTAATTTAATTTAACTGAAGCACATAATAATTATAATAATTCATTGTGTCAAGGGACAGGAAGTGAGAGAGTATTCATACACATTAGGCTTTTATCGAGGTCACCCCCTCCCCCCAAGGTTGAATTACTGACCCCGCAAAGGATGCAACCCCACAACAAGCTAACTCCTGAGTATCTAATTACTGCTATGTGAACAGGTCCATTAGGTGAAAGAAAATGTGCCCAGACATTTCTGTCCCGCCCGGGATCGAAACCGGAATTTTCGATTGTGCGTCGAGAACGAACCCGACTGTAGTACTGGGACTCATATTATATATTATATATATATATATATATATATATATATATATATATATATATATATATATATATATTATTATACAATCATTTACATTAGACAGTATACACGTTTCAATTTACGAATTTGTAAATCCAACTGCCCCAAAAGGGACGGAATAGATTCAAAAGAGATGTAGCTTAACAATAAAAATTGTTCTTCATTCTTTAAAATGGACAATCAAATTTAGGATAAATTGTTAGGATGTCGTTCAGTACACCAGATTCAATGAAACAGTTACACAGTTGGTAGTACAATAGGCCAGGAGGTGTAAAATCTTTTACGGATTAGCATTTAATAATAACGTTCAAGTAAATGTCTTAAAGGTTTGTGACAGAGTTTACAAGATGAATATTCTGGTAGTGGCTCAGCCTTACTAACTTGCCAGATATAGCCAAAGCGAATTCGCGCAATGACTACATTACATTGCCTGGTCCGGTTACTGTGCTGACTATACAATGACTACATTACATTGCCTGGTCCGGTTACTGTGCTGACTATACAATCACATTACATTGCCTGGTCCGGTTACTGTGCTGACCATACAAACATACAAATATCTATTACAAAAGTTGTCATAGCTTTTAATACTGCAGCTTTTGGATCTCTGCGTATTTCTTAGTTCTTCTAAATCTGAATTAATTTCTTTAATTTGTATGTTTTTAATAATTGCATTAGATAGTCCAAAGTCATAAGCCATGTTTTCTTTCCTGCAAGCCTCATTGACGAGCCGATCTGCAAAGTCATGTTTTTCAATTCTAACATGAGATGTGATCCACACAAATTTTATCATTGGTAAAAATTATATTCCATTTAATATTACAGGCTACTTCAGATATTAATTGTGATGGGTTATTTAAAGACTGCAGAGCACTTTTAGTCACAAAATATCACTCTACCTTCATTGAACTTAAGGTTCAGTGGCTAGATAAATAGCCAATAGCTCAGTCTGTGTCGTGCTTGCACAGTCGTTTATTCTCTGTGTACTAGACATGATCATTTAATTCCCTTTATATACTGCACATGCGCAACCTGTTCTACCAGTGGTCAATTGCACAGAATCATCAGTAAAGCCATAGGATTCAGTTAGTTTGAGATTTTGAAGATGACTGTCAATAGCTTCTAGTGTTATGCATCTCATACTTTCAGTGTTACGTCTTGGTTTTATACTGATGGGTGTATAATGTATAGGAACTTATCACATCTTTCGCACGTGTTTCCAAGGGGGAATACAGTGAACAGTTTTATCAGGAATAACACTGCGCAACTACCCTGCGTAAGGCGACGGTTATGGGTAGGAGGGTTGGGGGGGGGGGTATTAAACCCAAGGAAACCTGCGCTCATTTCTTGGTGTCAAGAGGCTATCGTGCAAGGAAGACACGAGATGACTTACCCAATATGAAGGAGGGGGCAACCATGAAGACATTGAAGACCCCCAGAAAGAAGCGAGACACCAGAAGGAGGTAGAACCAGGGCGTCGTCAGGAGCACCCCCAAGCCGATCAAAGTGCCCAGCGACCCTGCTCTCACTGCCCACCGGATGCCGTACCTGCCAACCAGCGACATGCTGTTAAGACACTCGGGTATTTACCTACTTAACGAGAAACAGTCACGTGTGAAATAACGCTGTCATAGATACGGTGCGGACGATTATAACCATCTTATTTGTTGCTACCAAACAAAGAGACAGGATCACTTGTGGGTGGAGGCAGAGGAGGGGGAGTGACCTGTACTGAGGTTCAGAGAAGGAAGATTTAATCATAGGAAGAATCTTTTAGAGTAACAAGTTACGAGACTTGGCGAGTCACCTATTTGGAGAGACATGGAGTTATCAGTGCAAAGGTTCAAGAACTGTCTCACTACCTCTTCTCATTTCCACTTATAGTTACGAGCTATCTACATTGCACATGCTTTGTGGATATAATTTGTCTCAGATGGTTTACCTGACTACTTGTCGTCCAGCCCAGTAGTCGTGCCAAGACAACATTTAAGATAAGTCTCTATATGGCCACAAGTCGGTGGAAAATGAGAGATAATCTACAAAACGTGTGAAATGTAGACAACTCTTAAACCCCAGGAGAAAATTAGGAAAATGAGAAGTAGCAATGAAAAACACCTGTGTGGAAAAAGCAGGAAAAGACACATATTAGGAAAAAAAATGTAATTTTGTTCAGCATACTTTCAATCACAGACATGGCCAATATTTAAAATGGTAACCAGCATATTTATATATTCTTCTGTCCTCCAATGACAGGCTTAGAAATCAATTAAACAACATATAGTATAGTGAGTTAAGCAGTCAACCACAAGCGAGTCAAATGCTTTTACAATGCTAACGAGCATCCATATAATACATACATTTCCGTCTGTCCTACAAGGACAGGGTTCGAAATGTGTTCTTTTTAAATATAGTACAGCTGGGGACTCGACCACAGAATGTGATTAATGTGCATTAACACAGATGAAATGTAATTCTAGCCAAGAGGAACGCGACAGCCTCTTCTGGGGTGAGTAACCTGCTGGTAGAAGCAGTGCGAGGAAGGGCAGCGACTCACTTGTGGGCAGCGGTGGCGGAGAAGAGGCTACCGAAGATGGAGCCGACCGTGTACAAGGTCTGGAAGAGTGGTGCTAGGAAGGCCCTCTCGCATACCAGGTCCCACTGAACACACACACAAACACCTTATGTTATTATCAAGGTCCCACTGTACACACACACCTCATGTTATTATCAAGGTACCATTGTACATATACAAATCACAAAGCAGCTATAGTAACTTGATCAACTTTACTTTTCAGCAACCTCTAAGGAAACTCAAGATCTAAATGCTACCTCACGGCTAATGTCGTTCTTAACATCATAGTAAACCATATTTGTTACATGAAATATTTCTAGCTTTAACTGTAGAATACTTTTCTGCATATTTAAAATGAGATTAAGTTTCCCCATTTAGAATTGATGTAGCCTATGTCGTGCAGTGGTTTGTAGTGTCGTGTAGCGGTTACTGGTGTCGTGTAGCGGTTACTGGCGTCGTGTAGCGGTTACTAGTGTCGTGTAGCGGTTACTGGCGTCGTGTAGCGGTTACTGGCGTCGTGTAGCGGTTACTGGCGTTGTGTAGCGGTTACTGGTGTCGTGTAGCGGTTACTGGCGTCGTGTAGCGGTTACTGGCGTCGTGTAGCGGTTACTTGTGTCGTGTAGCGGTTACTGGCGTCATGTAGCTGTTACTGGCGTCATGTAGCTGTTACTGGTGTCGTGTAGCGGTTACTGGTGTCGTGTAGCGGTTACTGGCGTCGTGTAGCGGTTACTGGCGTCGTGTAGCGGTTACTGGTGTCGTGTAGCGGTTACTGGCGTCATGTAGCTGTTACTGGCGTCATGTAGCTGTTACTGGTGTCGTGTAGCGGTTACTGGTGTCGTGTAGCGGTTACTGGCGTCGTGTAGCGGTTACTGGCGTCGTGTGGCGGTTACTGGCGTCGTGTAGCGGTTACTGGCGTCGTGTAGTGGGTGCTGGCAATACTACCAGGGAGAAGGTGGGTAGTGTACTTGCCTCCATAGCGACAGTGGAGTGAAAGACAGAGGTGTCGTAGCTCCAGCTGGTGCAGGGGACAGTCTCCTCAGGCTGACGGACCGCCTCCTGGTCGTTCTTCACCGCCATCATACACTCCGACCTGCCCTTCACACACACATTTATTCCGGGTGATTTCCTTCATTTGAAGTACATAACACACACATAATATACAAATTGGTACAGTGTTTCTTTCTTATGAAGTCTTTACTAACAAATCACATTGACAAATGTTTCACAACACATTAAAATAAATAATAAACAAAATTATAAGTATATATATATATATATATATATATATATATATATATATATATATATATATATATATATATATATATATATATATATATATATATATATATATATATATATATATATATATATATATATTATATAATATATATATATTATATATATATATTGGTGTATATATATATATATATATATATATATATTATATAATATATATATATTATATATATATATATATATATATATATATATATATATATATATATATATATATATTAGTATATTTTGGTAGCAGTCTTTCCTGTAGACATATATTATTAAATATGACCGAAAAAGTAAGATTAATAATTCTAACACGAATTTTCTCAATCTTTCGTACATTTCTTTTCACTGTTGGAGGTAAATCAAAAATCAATTCTCCAATATTCATTTTTATTTCTAGTCTAAAGTAGTAGTAGTTTTTAGTAGTTAAAGTAGTTAAGTTTTAGTAGTTAAGTTTTAGTAGTTAAATATGACCGAAAAAGTAAGATTAATAATTCTAACACGAATTTTCTCAATCTTTCGTACATTTCTTTTCACTGTTGGAGGTAAATCAAAAATTAATTCTCCAAAATTCATTTTTATTTCTAGTCTAAAGTAGTAGTAGTTTTTAGTAGTTAAAGTAGTTAAGTTTTAGTAGTTAAGTTTTAGTAGTTAAAGTCTAGTAGTTTTTATTTCTAGTCTAGTCTAGACTAAAAATAAAAATGAATTTTGGAGAATTGATTTTTGATTTACCTCCAACAGTGAAAAGAAATGTACGAAAGATTGAGAAAATTCGTGTTAGAATTATTAATCTTACTTTTTCGGTCATATTTAATAATATATATATATATATATATATATATATATATATATATATATATATATATATATATATATATATATATATATATATATATATATACACACACACGCCGCCGATACAGCACAAGCCCTGAGAGAAAAACACCCACTCAAGAGCATGATGACAGTGTTCCCCTAGTCAGTGTCACCAGAGCAAAACGCCTGTGTGCTCGAATCCATGGTGCACAAAGCAGCTTTATCCTTCCCACCAGGATCAGCAGGTGGGTTCACAGGACTAAGACCCAACCACATCAAACAAATGCTCAACCCTGCACTGGGAGACATTGCACAGGGCCTCCTGGTAGAACTAACTAGATTCGCCAACACATGTCTAGCTGGCAGCATACCAGAGACCATACGGCCCTTCTTTTTTGGCGCTTCACTCTGTACCCTGAGGAAAAAGGATGGAGGAATCAGACCAATAGCTGTGGGCAATTCACTCCGGCGCCTCGTCGCTAAGGCTGTTGCCAGAACAGTTAGTCAGGTAGCAGCAGACATGCTGAAGCCAAAACAGCTTGGGTTTGGCATTCCCCAAGGGTGTGAGGCAGCGGCTCATGCAGCTAGAGCCTACATTGCCAACATTACGGATGAAAAAGCCCTGATAAAACTGGCCTTCAAAAACGCTTTCAATCTGGTTAGGGATGCAGTACTCAGTGCGGTTCATCTCCTTTTTCCTTTCCTTTACCCGTTTGTAAACTCATGTTACAGCAAGAATCTAACTCTGCTATTCGGGGAACATGAAATTGAATCACAAGAAGGTGTCCAACAGGGTGACCCCCTTGCTCCTTTTCTTTTCTGCCTAGTCATCAAGGAAGTCACCGATAACCTGTCCAGTGAGCTCAACATTTGTTTTTTGGACGATGGTACTCTAGCTGGCTCACCAGACTCACTCTTGGATAACATAAGGATAATTCAGGAGCAAGGAGAAAGTCTAGGCATCGCCCTGAACTCTTCCAAGTGCGAAATAACCTCCACCAACCAGCACATAATAGAGCGAATAAAGATTGTTTTGCCTGATATTCATATAACCAACCCTGAGGACAGCACACTCCTAGGTGCTCCTCTTGGAGAAAATGCCATCGACGAGGTCCTTGGTAAGAAGATCACTGACCTGAAGAGGATGAACGAGAGGATTGAAGACATCGATGCTCATGATGCACTTTACCTCATCACCAGATGCTTGTCCCTCCCCAGGCTGACCTACTTTCTTAGATGTTTGCCATCTCTCAATAATATTAAATTAGAAGAGTACGACAGCTTGCTGAAATCAATGCTAGAAAAAGCTCTCAACCTTTCTCTCAGCGACTCACAGTGGATACAGGCCTTCCTTCCTGCATTAGAGAAGGGGCCTCGGCGTGCCCACAGCAACACAAATTGCGGTACCAGCGTTCCTGTCATCTTCAGTGGCGTCTGACAACTTGGTGAAGGAAATCCTACTTGAGCACCTAGTTCAACGGGCAAGGGTACATGATCCCAGCTTTACAGACAGCACCACCAAATGGGTCTCTCTCGCAAGACCAGCACCCCAACCACTGCTTTCGGAAGCCCATAAGCAATCCAGCTGGGATCGCCCCATTGCTGACTAAGAAGCTGCGACAACACATGACACTGCCCGACTTAGAGCTGTAGCCTAAATTCATGGTTCTCATAAATTCTCGATGATGGGTTAAGATTTGCAATTTTGTTTAGAGAATATCTAGGTGTCAGAACAACGAATTTTGGGTGAGGCTTGGCACGCGTGGTGATACATGTGTACATTTATGGTATTACATGTACGGTTGCTACATACATACACGTATTGTTATTACATATATCCATACATGGTTGCTATATACATACACATAAGGTCGCTACATGTACACCCATATGGTTGCTACATTTTATAAATTATGCTAACACTAATTACCTGGAATGAGCTCAATTTGAGTTGTAGGAAGTAGTTAACTGTTGGAGCAAATTGGGTAAGGCCACAGATGATTTCACTACTCGAACCATAATTGTTTGATTCAATGCCTTATTCACCCATTCGTTAATCACTACATGACACTATTAATTACCTTCCAATTGATGAATCTACCGATTATCCACCAAATGTATAAATTTAACCATTTATTTATTTATTTATCTATTTATTTATTTATTTATTTATATACAAGAAGGTACATTGGGTTTGTGAGAAGACATAGCATAGTATTTACAATCTTGTAAAGCCACTAGTATGCGCAGCGTTTCGGGCAGGTCCTTAATCTAACAGATAATTTTAAGGAGGTAAATTCTAGCAGAATTAATAAAATGATAACAGATACATTGCAAGAAAAAAAAATGAGATGAGAGAGAATAGTAAGTATATTAAAGCACATAGGTATATTCTTCTTCTTCTTGAGAATAGGTGCAGTTTGCATGAAGGGGTAACCCTCCCGATGACTGCACCAGAACAGATGTAAGGAGACGCGTTGATGGTAAAGAGGAGAAGAAAGTCAAAAGCGGTAGACGTGATGGGCCGTAGAGAGAGGAGTGGCGACGAAAACAGAGGCGAACGTCAGAGGGAGACTCCCCGCACCGGGGGGCGGGGCGTCATGGTCACGGTGACAGCTGATCCAGGCACGGCGTAGCGGTGCGCGCAAGACGGGAACTAATATTTCTCCGGAAACTTACGGTACGGAAAGCGCAAGCGGTACGCCTCCCAAACCACCCACAGGTCGGCGGGCAGCCTGCCATCAGGCTGGACCCTCGGCTGAGACATCCTATCCGGCACCCTATAAACAAACTCCTTCTTTGACGACACCCAGATGGTTGACGAGCACCACGGGATCGGAAGCACCCGGGCATCCCGATAAGGGCCCAACTCCGGACCCTCACAGGGCACGACCCCAGCAGACAGGACTAGGCAACCCCCAGACCGGGGCAAGGAAGGAGGGGGAACTGCAGGCGCGGCAGCGACCCCACCACAGGGCACAGGAGCCGAGGCTCCCTGGCGCACATCTTTCCGCAACTTCACAACGAGGTCCCGACCATCAGGGACAACCCCCCACTGTGGGGACCCAACAGCAGGAGACGCAGGAGGGGGGGCACAGGGAGCAACGTCGGAGCCCCTCACAGCACCATCATCCTCGGCGGGGGACGCCAGCTGAGCACCATACTCCCCCACCTCCTCCCAAGGCACACCACGAAGGGGGGAGACACTCCGAGCCCGCCGCGAACGCTTCGAGACAGGCCGCACCACACCACGCCCAGCAGGCCCCGCCGCAGGCACAGCCTCCACCGTCATATCCACACAGGCCACACCCGCACCGTCCGAAGAGTCCACAGAGGCCACATCACCCACACTGTCTACATCATCCACGGAAACAGCCTCAGAACACCGACGCGCGCGCTTCTGCAAAGGAATGGGAAGAGCAGAACTACAGGAGGCAACACACTCAGGCACGGCAGGCACCTCACCACGAAGCACCCCCTCCAAAACGGCAGAACCCGCGTCCCCGGGAGCCGGTAACACATCCACAGGCGGGGGCGGAACATGAACCTCCACCGGGACACCTTTCACTACACACAGCTCAGGCGACAGCCCGACACCCTCACACACCGGCTGAACAACCCCAGGGGCCACAGCTGGCACTAGACGTGGCGCACAGGCTGGAGAGCTCTCCTCAACAGGCGGAGCAGCAGACAGGCAGGCAGGCGCCTCAGGCACAGCACCAACACCGCCCGAACGCAACAGGGGCGGAAAATCCTCCGCACGAAGAACATGCACACGACCAGTCGCTCCCACGTCGCACGCAGCAGCCAGATGACCCTCGTGACCACACCGATAACAGGTGCGCGGTTGACCCCGGTACTGGCAGCGGAGCGTGTATCCCAACACGGACATCGACGACGGTACACTACCCTTCAGCGACATCGTCAGGGTGCGGGAGCCGTCAAGCATACCAACACAGTGCCCGGCAACGACCTTGTTCCAACGAACACTCAACACTGTCCCAAACCGTTCGAAACAGGAGGTTAAAAAGTCGTCCTGAAATTCGAAGGGGGCACCATGCACCGTCACAGACGTCAAGGTGACACTAAGATTCACTACCTTAACTGAGCCAGCTGAATCAGGGAGAGGGTAAACACGCCCCTCACACCGTTCGAGAAACGCCTGAAAGGCAGCCTGGAGGCGGAACTTGACCACAGCACGGTGGCCCTGAAGCAGCTGGATGCCCACCAGGTCAGACAGCTGCACATGCAGCACGTCTACTAGGGCGACACCAACCAATGGATGGTCCACCGGCACCGTAAACGCCAGACCAGCTGACAGCGTCCTCTGCAATGGAGGGCGAAACGTCCCCATGGCGAAGCAAACGTCACCCCGTCAGTGGCAAACCACCACCAGCAGGGCAAACAAGCGATCACCCAACGTAAACACTAGCCAGTGCGGAGAGACCTCAGGAACGTCCGACCCGGCCGGCGGTCACCACGCAACTCATAGGTATATTAAAGCTCTGATTGATTACATTGACAGCTTGATTGGTAATTTAAAAAAGATTAATAGACACCATACAGCAGATTGATAGCACATATAAGAAGACAGCAATGATCACAATGGTAAAGATGTTCGGATTGGGTACATAAAGATTGGGAATTTGGGAAGCAATAGATAAAGTGCAATTTTAAAGCAAAATGTAAAAAACTATGAAGATGAAATTAGGTACTTTTTAGTATTGTTTTTGAATGACGTAAAAGTTGGACAGCTTTTCAATTCAATAGGGAGTGAGTTCCATAGACTGGGTCCCTTTATTTTCATAGTGTTTACACAGATTAAGTTTGACTCTGGGGATATCAAAGAGATATTTATTTCTGGTGTGGTGATAATGGGTCCTATTACATCTGTCCAGGGAGAGTTTCAGAGCAGGATTTGCATTTAAGAACAGGGTTTTGTAAATATAGTTGACACAAGAGAATTTGTGGAGTGAGATTATGTTTAGCATGTTTAGGGAGTTAAATAAAGGGGCTGAGTGTTGTCTGAAAGCAGAATTTGTTATTATTCTGATAGCAGATTTTTGCTGGGTGATGATGGACTTGATGTGGTTTGCAGAGGTTGAACCCCATGCACAGATACCATAATTACCCACCATCTGCATCGATCAACCCATTACTCACCATCTGGGTGAATTTAGCCACCCAGATATTTGCCCACCAAGTATAAGAGTCTACCCACCACTCACCCATTGTAGTCTACCCACCACTTACCCATTGTATGTGTGATAAGTTTCGTTGGGAAGATTACAGAAGTAGCGGGGCACCGGGTTGATGAACTCTGACCCGATCAGGAACACAGGTATGGTTCCCGGCACTGATGGAGAAATGTGAAAACAATAATTATAAATATCTTAGCTGTCATAGGCTTATGTCTGCAGTGGGTGAGCTGCCTTAAGCTTATGTCTGCAGTGGGTGAGCCGTCTTAAGCTTATATCTTCAGTGGGTGAGCATTGTTTTACCAGGAAGAAAGCCAGTGGAGAGACGAACTTTGAAAACCGCGCTGAAGACTTTAATATAATTGGGATCACAGACCTGTTTCTCCAACTGAAAAATTATTCAAAATGTATTAATTCATTACGAGCAGCATTGGTAAATGAATCTTTGAATACATTTGCACGGTTAATACAGAATAACAAATAATTCGAGTGTCAAAAAGTTAAACCAGCTGCAGATTGACTTGTGTAATAGGCTACAGTTGGCCGGGAATTTCAAGACTACTTTACTTGCCTCTTGCCATGACTGTGCCAGTTTAGTTTATTTTCACCTCACTTTTATTCATGTGCAATTGATATTCTCATGTGGATTTGTAATAATGAACAATAAACACGTGTATGATGTTCTGCTCCCACATATAGTTCCTAGAGTAGCGAAGGCATATCCACTCTTTAACTGGCAAGTAATATGGGCAAACCTTCATGTTAAATTTATTACCCCAAAACAACGTGAATTATTGTATCGCTATATTCATGAGACCCTCCCTACTAATGATAGGTTGTTAATGTTGGGCTTTAAGGACAACAATAGGTGTGACCAATGTACTGAAATTGAGAATAATATGCATATATATTATTTCTGTAAGCAGAAAGTTGTTCTTGCAAACTGGATTACAGGCACTCTTAAAGCTTTATGTGGACCAAGCATTAGAGTGGATTCAATGAGGTTTTGAATGTTTTATATTGATATAAAATACAAGAAAATTAAAAATTACAATAATTATGCTACTTTCTGATTACATTTTTTGTGTGTGGATAGGCAGGCAGGAGGGTTACTCACTAGACAGAATATTGAAGTTCTTGCGAGGCAGGATCAAGTATAACATTTGGGGTTTACGGCTCATGCTCGGTATGATATGGAAAATTGGTTTACTGAGAATTATATGAAATATATATAAATGTAGTATTTTCCCTCGTAAATTGATGTAAATATGATCTTCGTATTGTATATTATTTAATACAGAAAAAAGTTTACATTTCTTAAACAGTTTACAGGTTCCGAAGTGCTACGAGGTTGACCTCAATCCAAGGTTATTATTGTCATGGACGACCTCAAGGCGCTGTGAAACTTGTAAGGTGTTAAGTACATAGCGACAAAAGACGCAATGATAAAAGATATACTTATCTCGTAAGTAGACATGTGAGTGGTCTGTAAATCTTGGTTTAGGCTTCATCAAGCGTTTACGAGTCCAGTTAAGAATCCTGTACACCATTCATCAGTCATAGCGGCTCAGTTTGATTCAATTAAAAAGTTATGAATTATGTGGTTGTCTATAAGAATAATAACCTGATCGAGGAAAGATGTACAAGTTTCGTAAATGGACACGTAAATGCATGATGAATACGGCCCAGCTGGCCTTGCTAAATTACAATAAGTTATAAACTCACCAATGAGGGAGGTGATGAAGAAAAGATAGTTCCAGGGACCCATACCCAGCTGTGTCAACACCGTTTCCAGTCCCTCATTACTCATTCTCCCTGCAACGGTCAACGCGCGTTACTGCAACATTCCAAATACAACAAGATCAGCGCTAAGTTCAATATCATTGTCAGTGCTCATTCCACAAACACCATAAGCTCTTTTCTCAGGCTTAGCTAAATGAATTGTGGGGTTCAGTCCCTGAGCCCATTATGTGCCTCTGTAACCCTTTCCACTACCGCCCACAAGATGGGTATGGGGTGCATAATAAATGAACTAAACTAAAACGGCAGAACAATTCAAATAAAAATCGTTCAACAACTTGAATTTTTTTATTAAGCTCTTGGTGGTAAAGTGTTTGAACCTAAGAATTGTCTCAGTCATTCTCTGTTTTTTTTGTTATTAAACATGTATTAAACTCAGCCAAACAAATCACCGGACGAAGTATTTGCCAGTTGTGCTTAAGAATGTTAATAATAAAACACCTGGTGTTATTCTTCACCAATATCTTTTTCTGGTTAGTCCCCTATTTACATTATGCAGTTCAGGTTTCGTCGCCATACTATATTTTTAGTTTAGTTAATTTATCACATAATGGGTTCAGGGACTGAACACACAATTTATTTATCTAAGCAAGTTACAATCTTGAGGAGCTAGCCATAAAAATTCATAACACATCGTCACATCAACAACATGGGTTCGAGATCGACCACAAGTACAGTTTCTAAATTAAGCAAATGACATATGTGGAGAGCTAGTGTCACAATTGATATGTTTGTCCTGCACATTTCCACAGTAGTTATCTTGGGTTCTTCTAATTATCTTAGATATCATTGAAGAGAACCTCCTAGGTACTATACTGTATATATGCTTGTAAGAAGTATAATAATGCTGAGAAATCGTGTAAATTATGTTGTACGAATGCTTCCAGTTAAGTAACATAGTTCATTTGTGTGCGCGTGCTTGAAGAGGAAATGTTATCCACCCTCCCCCCCCCTCTCCCCCCATTGTAAATATTTGTGGCTTTCAGACCATACGACCGCGGCTTACCCTCGCCGCGGTCGAGGGTAAGAACACCGGATCTATACCCAGTATTACAAGTAAACATTAGCAATAACATTTATGGAAAGTTCCTTGACCTATACATAGACAAGAGACTGAACTTCAGCACCCACATACAACACATAAAGGGATGCTCTGAGAGAGAGAGAGAGGGAGAGTAAAAATATCCACTGAGGCCTGATTAAGTCCTTTTGGGGACCTTAATCATTAGGACGTCCAATGATGAACGCAAAGTGAAGCGTATTCAGATATTGACAACATTCAGCATATCTCATAGTGACCTAGTAGTACTTGGTGCACAAATTCCTTTTCCAAAGGAATCACAAAACATAATTAAACACAACTGTACCGTACAGTGTTATATATTTATTTCAGTTTGAACACTTTTTAACATTAAAGGATACATCCTTTAATTGATTGAAATTAGTTTTAACATTCGAAATATAATTTGTTGATGTTAAATAATATAAGGTTCAAATTTATTAAGATAGTTACTTTAAAAACTATTTCTATTTGAAATTTAAATAACATAAAAAGAGTACAGAATATAATACCGACTATATAAAAGACCTGACACTTGCAGCACTTAATTATGCTATTGTAACACATTGAAAGTAATAACATTATTTGACTCAGCAAAGCATTTGGTAAGGTTATAATAATAATAATAATAATGTATTAATTAAATATTTTAAATTATAATTCACAACTTGCTAGCGCACAAGAAACAAATCCACGAATCATCATTACATTCTGTAACACCTACACATGATCCATGGTGCCAAATATTACAACGGTCACAGCATACCATCAGCTTCAAATCATTTGGCTTTCTGCAAATGCAGTAAGTACACTTCCATCGAGCATGACCGGATGATTCGTTTTCTTCTCAGTGTCTGAGCTGCAGGGAATGAGGTGAGATACTTTCCTTTGAAGTTCTCTTGTAGATGTTGTCTCATATTCTGCACATCATATACAAGGTTCACCGGATCTTCACCATTTACAAGTGATGCAGCAAACGCCACAGCATATACCCCACTCATACTTGAGTCCCATCCTGGCAATTAGCAAGAGTACACAAGAAAACATCAGTAGATTTGGATGGTAATTTATGCCTGGTGTCGTATATGTTAATTTGTCCAGTTTCTCCAGTGTTGGAAACGGTGACCCAGTGACAACCATCAACTTGAATAATTTGAATAAATTCAACTAATACAGCTGACCAGGAGAGGTCCCGCTGCAACACTGGGTCCTTGATGAGGTCACATGCAGCCTTTATATGAAGGTCAGAGAGATGTTCATTTATTCCAATGATTATGATCTCCTCTGTTAAATAATTTAATATTGTCGAATGTGAAGCACTGCTATCAATCTCCGTATTATTGCATTGATGTGAGGAGTGGCAGTGATTGGTGCAGTTTATTCATCACCAGCTGCCTCTAGCACATCATCACCAGCGGGACTGGAAGTGACAGCGTCTTCCAGTCAAATAAAAATGTCCCCCCCCCCCCACTGATCAAAAAGACATTTCAGCATTAGGTTTACAAACTCTTTGCCATTGTCTGAATGGAAAATTCTCGCGGAGTCCTAAATATGCTAAAACGCGCTCCTCCAGCATTAAAGCAACTTCCTTGGCAGTTTTAGATTTTAAATGAAACACAATATGATATTTGCTGAAATGATCTACCACATGGCAAATATAGTTATAGTCTCCGTCTGGAGAATTTCTCATGTCTATCAGCTAGGTCTACATGTATGCGATGCATAAACTCCGTTTCGACGATCGGTTTCAGAAAGGAGGGGGGGGGGGGCAGCATGTCTGGGGCTGTGTCTTTTCACAAGTCGGGCAAGATTTACAAAATTCTTGCACAAATTGCCAAGGAATACCATAAAATTCCCTTTTCAAAATTGTTGCTGCCTTTTTGTAACCACAGTGTGCAGTACCTTCTCTACAAACCCTAGCAACTGCATCATATAGCATGCTCTCTGAAAGTTCAAGTTCAAGTATGTTTATTGAGATAAGCAAGAAATACATCTCAAAGGGATGTTACAGTGACATGCTTTACAGTTCCCAAGGTCCCATCAGCTTCCTCCCCTGAAAAATCAAAAGCTTGACCAGGTTTAATTGGCAAACTAAAACGCATTGGGATCCTTACCATGTTTCTGAAATCATGCACATATATATTAAATAAGTGATGTGAGAGATAAATATATGTGATATTACCAGAGTCAGACTAAATTTGTTTAAACACTTCATTCATATAAAAGGACGTAACATCTGCAACTCGCATCCAAATGCATACAATTTAAATGTAACCTATACTTTAATAAAAAGTAGAACATTGAAATATCTAATTTCATCTCCGTAGTATCTTGCCTTGTGCTACTAAGTCTCACAATATCTTTTACATCTAATTTCTTGCTTCTGACCAGTGACACCTGACTGACATTAGTATGACATTTATGAATTTGATAATATTTATGTCAGTCCAGGAGTCTTCTCAGCTGGGGAGGTTGAAAGCATGGCAGTGTATAGTGGCCTTGGTCGTCAGGCGCAGCTGGGGTGGTTTTTTTTTTTTTTTTTTTTAGGGATATTCCTGTGCGGGCCCTAAGCCTCTGGCTGGCCCACTAAGTGTTGCTTGTTTCTGTTTTACTTGGGCGGAGTATGAGTATTTATTACTCGTATGGTCGCTTTAGTAAGATTTTGCCATATGTGTTTAACAACTTCTTCTGCTCTGTTGAATCTAAGTTGAAATCTTAATGGGTTTGTAACTGTGCACTGTGTTAGATAATGTTCCAGTGGTCTGTCGGGCATTTCTCCACAGTGTTGGGTGGAGGTGATTTTCCGTATCTGTATGGGTGTTTTGTCTTTACTCTACACTCAAAATTTCACCCTTTTATTACTGTTAACGCACAAAAAAATCACCCCCCCCCACCCCCATCAAGAACAATATGTATTATTCCCGAAAAAAAATGTTAATTAAAGATTAACACACTGGCAAAGCACACATTCAGTCCCACATCAGGAATTATCAGCCACCAATCCCTGTGGAAAGCTGATAATTGCACCAACTTACGAGATACGCCGCGAATGATGTCTAATCCCTGCCAACCTTAAATTTCCCTAACACTAAGATTGAATTAGTATATGGAAGAAAATATTTTATATAAGGTACCTAGGTCATTACTTTGCTACTCCACAAGCTTCTGTTACCCTACATATCCTTAATTCTAAATGTCTGTCTACTTCTTGATAATATATATATATATATATTATTATATATATATATATATATAAACTGAAAACTCACACTCCAGAAGTGACTCGAACCCATACTGCCAGGAGCAACGCAACTGGTATGTGCAGGGACGCCTTAATCCGCTTGACCATCACGACTGGACATAAGGAAGTGACAGCCGAAGCTATTTGAACCACTTCCCCGCTGTCACTCGGATGGTAATCTTGGGCATAGCATTTTATCAAATCACCTCATTCTTTGGGGCACACGTGAGGAACACAAATGCGAACAAGCCTCAATGGTCCCCAGGACTATATGCAACTGAAAACTCACACCCCAGAAGTGACTCGAACCCATACCGCCAGGAGCAACGCAACTGGTATGTACAGGGACGCCTTAATCCGCTTGACCATCACGACTGGACATAAGGAAGTGATAGCCGAAGCTATTTGAACCACTTAAACCTTATGTCCGGTCGTGACGCAACTGTTACAGTGTAGAAGATATAGAGAATATAATAAAACAGATCAGCAGGGAGACCCACAGCTGCAAACTTGACATTATTTTGAGGAATCATTCTCGCATGTACTGCTCACAAGCAACAATAGTTGACCAGCAACAAAAGTTGACAAGATGTTGGCTTGTTGACCCTGTTAGTATCAATTCTATTTGTTTAGAACTTGAGCTAGGCTAGCCTGGCAATATTGTACAGTTCAAAGCCTCTTCAAATTATTTGACATTCATGTTATATTTAATCTATTAAAATGTGTATTTTATTGT